CCTTTATTATGTAATTCAGTCATTATTTGTATTTGTATTATACACATTATTCTATTTTAATTTGTTTTATGCATTTATTAAATTACAAACACATATTTGCATAACACCTCAATTTTCTTCTGCCATAAAAATAAAAAAAAATCTGGTGTAAAAACTGTAAATCTTGTAAATCAGATTCACTCCTGAAGTTTGGTGATTGTTTTTTTTGCGTTAGCTGGGTAGCAGTGTGTCTAATATTGTTTATTCTACCGTTTTTATAACGTCCATGTTGACACAGTGTCTCATGAGACATTTAATTATTATTATTATTGCAGCACCATGACAGTGCTGTGACTTTATTAATGCTGTGAGATGGTACCATCTTAACAGTGACTGTGATGTTTCTGTTGTATTTTTTCCATCAGTTCCTGGCCCGATAGTTTTTTGTTTTGTTTCTTGTGTGTCTTACTTGCTGAAGGTAGTTCACCAGGCGGCACATGAACTCTCCAAAGATCCAGCTGGGCAGCGGGTACAGCGTGGCGGTGAAGGGCACGCAGCAGACCAGGAACAAGATGTCGGTCGTAGCCAGGTTTACTGGAAGAGAACGACAGTAGTGACTCCATCCATCCATCATCTCTGCACCTTAATCCTCACTAGGGTCATGGGGGGCTGGAGTCTATCCCAGCTGACTCAGGGTGAAGGCAGGTTCACCTGGACAGGTAACCAGTCTATCACAGGGCTACACTTAGAGACCCAACAGTGACTCCTAAAGACAGAAATCTAATTAAAGACGTGTTGATGTGAGATAAAACTGGCAGCTGCTTCCAGAATGTGACTTCTACATTAACTTTATTCGTCTTTATCACTTCCTGGTAAGCAGCACTGATGCTGAGTGAATTATCTGTGAAATAAAGTAAATTATCTTAAACTAGAGCAGCAGCAGCATCACTGGTTGTGATCCATAACAATAAGGGTCAAATCAAACTGAATGCAGCCTTTTAGCTCCTGCAAATCTCACACAGAACTGATGGAGCACAAGTGAAGCAAAACCAAAAGCTTGATCCAGCTTCTCTTCAGAGATGTTACCGATGTAGAAGTTGGTGACGGTCTTCATCTGCTGGTGCTTGGTGACCACGTGGATGACCAGCGAGTTCCCGACCAGGCCGACCAGCATGATGAGGCCGAAGAAGGTAGGGACCAGCCAGGCGTCGACCAGCACCGGCGGGCCCTGGCCCTCCAGAGACGAAGACTGGTTGCACACAGACCCGCAGTCTGGAGCGTGATTGGTCGCTGAGTCTGCTATCATCTTCACAAAGCAAAGCCAAGAAGGTTTCTACAGCAGATAAAGATCATGATCAGCGTCAGTCACATGCGTCATTATTTGTCCTTCAAGTTAATTAAATGAAATATTTTGGATTTATGACACCACACGAAGCCAAATGAAATAAACTCTACATGATAAGCTTCTCTTACCTGTGCTGTGTCTCTGCTCACAGGTTTCCTCCTGAACGCTGAGCTGCTGCTCTTCTGTCTGCAGGTCTGAGATGAAAGCTCTGTTATAGAGCACCGGGGCTGCTGGGGCGGGGGGCAGAGGGGACGGGGGGCAGAGGGGGCAGAGGGGGCGCTCGCAGGTCGCACTCATTTTGCTTTTTATGTTAGAGTGAGGTCGTGTGAGCGTCAAGCCAAATCCACCATCATTACCTGTAATTACCCAGGACTGGCTGCCCCTGGAAAGTGACTGCAGCTGGATTAAAGCATGTCGTCATCATGTCGACTCGCACAAGTCAGTCCCTCTGTACAGCCGAGCCCCGAGCTCGATAAACTGAATCAGATATAAAATAAAAGCCGTGGATGTGGTAGAAGTGAACACACCTGAGCGTGTGGTGGAGGTGGTGTAGGGTCGTGGTGACAGCACACACTCATCTCCCCTCACTCCCACCACAACAAACAGCTTTTAACGGCGTCATTACATCCTCCAGCAACCCGGCTGCCGAGCAACAAGCTGCTAATTTCCCAACGTGATGGACGGTGGAGTGTTTGAGAACAAAGGTAACGTCTGCTGTTCTTGTAGTTGCTGTTTGACGTATTATCCTGGCTTGAAATAAAAAATAAATGGCAGGAAAAGAGCCAAAAGAATAAGTAGACATTGGGGTAAATGTGCTGAGATGTCTTCACAAATCAGAATACTTTGATCACAGTTGTTGACATTTTTTCTCTTTGTGAAAAAAATGTTTAAAATCATTATTACACCTTGTATGTTTTAAACACTGTTGGGATTTTACTTGTTTAATTTTTTCTAAAAGCATCTCTGTGAAAGAAAAAGAACTCACATGAACTTCTTGCATCATGACTTTCTATTTGGTTTTCAGCTCTTTAAACGTTTTTGGTCGTCAGTTCTGCACCAGTGGTTGCTCTGCTACAGACTATTCCTGCTGGTTTCAGTTGGATTTCATCTTTTCTTTAATGTTTTAATGTTCAGTACAGCGTGCAACACGATTAGAGGCAGCGTGCAGTTTATCCAGCTGTCTCGGAGTTCCTCTGGACTCCAGGTTTCCTCGAGGCGCCTGAGACCAGCTTCCTCTGGAGGTCCGTCAAGTCCTCAAAGAACCACTGGTTGGTCGGCGCTGGAACAACAATCAGTCAGAACACGACTCACAGAACGGCCTGAACATGACTCCTCACTCTTGTTTTTTACTCCAGAGTGAGTGAAAGCACAAGGTAGTGATCACGAAGTGTTTTTTGCGCTCAACTTAAGAAGTTTTGCTTTTGTGGGAATGAATGCTTCACAACTTAGGAAGCTTTGTTTGCCCTGAATATAAAATTATTTTTCCGTCATTACAGAAAATTGTCTGTCAGAGTATAACTGGAGTCTATCCCAGCTGACTCAGGGTGAAGGCAGGTTCACCTGGACAGGTAACCAGTCTATCACAGGGCTACACTTAGAGACAGACAACCAAGCACACTCACATTCACACCTACGGACAATTTACAATCACCAATTAACCACAGCATGTTTCTGGACTGTGGGAGGAAGCCAGAGAACCTGGAGAGAACCCATGCTGCACGGGGAGAACATGGAGACTCCACGCAGGAAGATTCCGGGTGTCTTCACTGGGACGCAAACCCACGACCTTCTAGCTGTGAGGCAATGGTGCTAACCACCGAGCCACCTTGCAGTAAATTACTAATACATTAGCTGATGACAAAGTAACTCTGGATTTCTAATCTGTATAAATAAACAATGACTGTTATTGATCTGATTTTTGTATAAGACACCACAAACTAACTGTAAAATATCTACAGACTCTACATCAGGGGTGTCGACATCTGGTCCTCGAGGGCCGCAATCCTGCATGTTTTGGATGTTTCCCTCTTCCAACACACCTGATTCAAATGATCAGGATGGTTATCAGGCTTCTGCAGAGCTTGATGATGAGCTGATCATTTGAATCAGGTGTGTTGGAAGAAGGAAACATCTAAAACATGCAGGATTGCGGCCCTCGAGGACCGCAGTTCGACACCCCTGCTCTACATCTTACAGTAGACAAGGGCTTGCTTCAGCCCAGCAGTCTGTAATTATGAACGTTACGATCAGCTGTTTACTGACCAACACGCTGTGGAGGCAGCGTCCACTGAGGCTCCCAGGACTGCTGTCTGGTCCAAGCCTGCACATCCAGGACGTACGGACGTATCTCCTGCTTCTGAAGCTGTTCTTCAACAGAGGCGATCGAGTCAGAGGAGAACATCTTGGATTGTTCCACCAGATGTGCAAGAAAGACAGGATGTGATGAAGGTAAACTGGGCTGCGGCTGTTCTTCCTCAGATGAGGCCGCTGCAGGGACGGGAGCAGGATCAGGTGCTGAAGCAGGTGAGCTTCCACTCAGGTGAGCTCGCCTCTTAAACTGACACTCGGAGAGCTGGCTGATGTTTTCAGGGAGGACGGCTCTGGATCTGAAGCTCGTGTTCTTCAGGACGGAGGAGGTGGTGCGTCGGGGGTCAGCATGTGTGGCGTCACGAGGTGGAGGTCTCCACTCAGACAGAACTTTTATTAGGTCTGAAACCTGAGGAACAGCAGAGACAGGTAGAGGAGGAGTTGGACAGAAAACTGACGAACATGTTTCAAGTGTCTGCCATCGACACATCCCTTCAGTAATTCTTTTAATATAAAGCTGTATGCAAATCACACATTCTCTTGAGTTGTGAAGACGAAATAAGCAAATGCAACCCCTGCAGAAAACAGACTTTAAGGTCATTCTTCACATAGCATACTATGTGAAGAAAAAAAGAAACAGTAATTGTGACTTGTCCAAAAGTTTGGAAATCCATGAGATCAGTTCTCTGGCTCTCCTGACCTCTAGGTCACGCTACAACCACGTTACCCCAAAGCAAGTGACTGAAAATCTGAACATGAGCTGTTTCCAACAGTTTGAAATGTGAAGGAAAAGACACTTAGGAGGGAATGTGGACGTCAAGACAATGCTTGGAAGCCCAAGACAACTCAGATTAAACATCAAATGGGCACAAAGGCAAAGCAAAACCTCCACATGACTCAGCTTCTGCATGTGTGGCCTTATATAATATAATGTTCTTGTAATGTTTGATGCTGCAGGTTCTCCAAGTCAAAACAATCACAGTTAATCCTTCAGCTGACAGATCAGCATCAGTGTCTGGAGTCAGCAGAGACACATCCATACATGTTTATATTAACAATCGATGAACACTTTACGGGTGTTCATCAGCTTAGCTACACTTGTTTTGTCACTCAGTTGATTACTTTGGTCGTCTGATGCCCGTTTTAAAAGGTTTGTGTCGTTTTTATCAGCTCGCTTCCAGATGATTTCTAGCTGCTGTCACTAAAAAAAGCTGTCGGCTGATATGTTTTGTTCTGTTGCTCCACAGTGGCCCAAAAAAAATCTGTGGAAGCAGTTCTGAATGACGTTTTAACTGTAATTATCAGCTAAAATGTGTTTCTCGTAATTGCAGTCACCATACGATGTCACAGTTTGTGTGATTTCCTGAAAACAAAAACACATTTCCAAAGACAAACTGATGTCTTTATGCTTTGACCACATCATCCGTTACAGACACACAGCATCCAAACACATAAACTCAGTCCGCTTCATGTCTCACTACCTTCAGCTCTCTGCTGTCAGAGTCTCCGTCCCTGTTTGGATTGTCCATGAGCCTAAAAAACCTACAACACAGTCAAGCAAAGTGACGTCTGTGTGAAATCAGTAATCCTAAACCAGGCAGAGATCCTTCAGAGTGACTGAACCGCCACCTCCTTCTGCCTGAAGTCAACAGAGACGAGGCGACGGCAGCCCATCAGCCTCCTGATGCATGACAGCTGTGCCGTCTCCATGACAACTACAATATTCTACTTCAAACTGAACCGTCGCCGTGGCAGCCGTCCAACAGGTACCAAAGCTAGACACAAAAAACCAGAGGCCTTATTGTCGTGTTTATTCATTTATTATCATTTAATATGTACACAGACGTATTGCACAGGTTACATCTTAAGAGCACGCCATTTATACAAACACAAAGTTCTGGCTTCGGTCAGGCGAGAGGAAACCAGCGGCGACTTCGTGTACGACTACGTGAACGATACGAGCTTTTGTGCGTTGTGTTGGTTGTTTGTTTTTTTATTGTGCGTATTTATTGTTCAAGGGATTTACATTCTTTATATTTACACACACACACAGAGATAAATATATACTTTTAAACTTTTCAAAAGACTTTTACAAACTGATAAAACAGTTTCAAGACACTCTTCCACGTTAGCGTGCTCGTGGTACGCGACACTGGAGGACGGCGCGCCGCCTTACAGTGCGATTATCAAAGCGCTGACGTTGGCTTCATGGGGTTCAGACCTGAAAACCGGATTGGTGATGGCATCATGCTTCGTCCTCGTCAGCTCCCAGCTTCAGTGAGCACCTTCGGCACCGTTTTCTCCTGCATACGGTGGAGTTTGACAAAACTTCTGAAAATAACGTGCGCAAGTGAGTGAAATGGCAACTAAATAAAAAAAAAAACACAACAACTTGCTTCTGAGGTCCTACGGTTTTCTAGACGCAGAGCCGAGAATAAAAAAGGACAGACATCAGCGGTATGTGAACCTAAAATCGTGCTTGTCGACACAGATGTTAATAAAATCTTCCTCTAAGCGTGACGACTCGGGTTTCAGACGGAGGTGTATGTGAGCGGTGGGCAGGAAGAGCGGCGGCGGGAACTCGGGGACGTCTGCATCTCATGTCGCTTCATGTCCTCTTCAACGGTCTCTAAGTCTTTATCGATGAGACGGGGTTCGGAGCGGGGAGGTAGCGGGAGGACGGAGGCTCCGGGACGCTCACATGTTGAAGCTTTCTCCGCAGCCACACGTGCCCTTGATGTTGGGATTGTTGAAGACAAATTCACTGGACAGCTTTGACTCCAAGAAGTCCATCTCGGTTCCCAGGAGGGTCAGCTGGGCCTTCTTCTCTATAAACACCCTCACACCTGCAAACGCGACACAGCAGAGTCGTCATTACTTTAACTTGGGCTGCACTGAACACGTAACATCAACAAGCAACAGCACACGTATGACGTAGGGCTGCAGCCAAACAAGACTGCAGGCTTGAATGTAGGGATTGTTTTATACAAAGCAGTCATTTCCTGTATACCTGTAGTTTAATTTCTAGGCCTGTGCACACCTTGTATTAGAAATATAAATAGAAGACTGGCCTATTTTTACATTTGCAGCTGATCTGTACACTCTTGTCAAGCCTCGTGTGGCCATTTGATTTAGTGCAGGCGTCGTGTCCCTGCAGCCATATGTCACAAGCTCAGTAAACCACAGCGCCAGTAGTCAGCTAGAATGATGTATGTTTGATTAGCAAGTGCAGTAAAACACCTCTAAATGCCTTTTAACTGCACATAAATGAATAAAAATGTCCATATTTAATATCCTCTAGTGGTAGTGTCTAAAAGCTACTGTTCCTGTCAACAATGCATCCACAGCTTACCGTCCTGTAGCACCTCCTCGTCCGACTTGTCTCTCTCCTTGGTGTAGTCCAGTGTGTAGGTCAGTCCATTACAGCCTCGTGTTCTCACTCCAACCTTCAAACCGATCTGATGAAGAACCAGAAGCATGTTAACGTTTACTTTTTTTTTAACATTAGCTCGAAAATCCTCAGTAGAAACAGGAAGAAGAAATGCTGATGTGTCAACAGGAAAACGTCATAACTGTATTCAAACACCTCAAAAGATGAATTATTTCTCTGAGATTATTATTCACAAAGCAGATCTGATATTCAGCATTTCTTTAAACCATTTCAGATAAAATATATAAATACGGTCGTGACTCGATAATCCGACACTGAATGTAAAAATCTTCTTTTATGTGGGATATCAAGGCTGTCGGATTGTCAAGACGGAGGTCCAGATACGAGGAGGGCTTGATGCTGGAAGGATCATTAGTTGTTCATTATTGTTCATAGTTGTTATAATAACTAGTAGGGCTGGTCCCAATAGAACTTTCTGCTCTCTGGATGTTCAGGTCCAATTAATGATGAATATCAGAACATTCGGTCGGGGGACACTTCCACCCCGGGGCAGCGCTCTGACGGGGTGGAAGTGTCCAGAACACACAGGCAGTACTTGGCTGCTGATGCTAGTTTAGTTAGCGCTCACACTTCTGTTTCCTCCATCGGTGGCGGCGGGGGAGTGGCAGATACGCTCCACCGTTACCATCCATGTTTACTTCCATAAACACTGAGCACGCTCGCTGCGTGTGACGTCGTCGTGTCCTCTTCTGCGCATGCGGGACACTTTTGGCTCGTATGAAGTTCACACAGCAGATCACATACAAGTCGCATTGAACTGGAAACGTGAAGGAAGTCACAAAGAAATCCTCATTGAGCATCAAGTCCTGCAGTGTGAACGTAGCCAATCTGTGGGATTGTTCAGTCAGATAATACGCCGTCATCCTGATTGGTGACATTAAATGTCATGTCGGAGTCACAATCCAAGGCTGTCGCTATGTTAAGGCTGTTTTTATGGGTTCTGTTGGTTTTTCCTACAAACCTGTCGGATAGCAGGTTTAGGATCGTTAAGGGTCGATTATCGAGTCACGACTGTACTTAATTAATGAAATGGATCAGATGTAGCCGCCTCTCTCTGATCTTGAGCAGGGTCCCCCCACACCACTATCTAATTAGCTTCGGTAACAGCCCGTCAACACTGAAGGAAAAATGTCGACTCTTTAATTAAACATATTCAAAGATTAAACAAACAACGGCATTTAAATGAAGCTTTGTGTTATTCTAAACTTTGACACCAAGGTTCTTATTTTCACCTCGATATCAGTTCTCTGCATCCTTGATTACTAATAATCTACCCTTTTGACCCCTCAAGTGTATTTCCCTTTTTGCTTTATTGTTGAAGCTTCAGAGTGAATGAACAAATCAGTGACATGTTGGTGTTTCAAAATGACAAAACTCTGAAGTCCCCGCCTTGCTCAACAGCCAAGTCAGGATTCTCTGATGCTGCTGTAGTTTTCTGCTCACAGATTTACCTTCAGTTATCCTAATATAATATTTTGATTTCACTTCAGGAAATCTGTCACCTAAAAACATGATGTAGGTTTAAGCAAACGGGGAAAAACAAAGTGACTGTGGCTTTACATATTGATTTTTAAAACATGTGCTTTAAAAAAATCATAAAATGTAAGTTTTATCAACCCGTTTAATTGAAAATCTAACACGTAAAACAACACAGCGCCCTGTTGCTGTTAGGAAACACGCAGCGTCTTCTTGAGGACGTGATGTTTGAGTGAACGCCAGCCGGATCCATTACTCACATATTCTGGTTTGTCCTGCAGCAACAACCTGATCTTGCTCACAGCAGCTGGAGTCTGCAGGAAAGACAACAGAAGGTTCAGTGTGACTATTCAGAGAGGGAACATAGACGGGATTCACATGGAAGCAGCTTATTTTGGTAGAACCGCGACTGTTTCCAGCACAGTGGGAGGAAGAACGACAATAGAGAAACAGAATGTGTTCTGTTGGGCTTGTTCGTGTTCCCATTGGCTGTTCTGGTTCCTGTGAAAACACTTGGTCTAACGATGACCTGCACTCCCACAGCTTCTCCTGTAACCGAGCACGTGTGTGAGGTCCTCATGTTTGGGCCGTCGTCTGTAGTCGATCATACGGGAGGTGAGCTACATTAGCCACAAGGTGCTAATCTCTTAAAGCCCTTAAAGTGTGACCATGTGGCTGATTCCAAAAGTACAGCACATCCCAACTGGGTCGCAGCTCGGAGCTGTTTCATAATCACTCTCTTCACCACATTTACGGGTGACGCTAACTTGTAGGTCCTCGTAGGATGTGTTAGGTTGATAACTTTCATTGCAGCACAAATATTTCACACTATATCTTAAATTCCTATTTATACTACTTATAAAGGGTAGAATGGATGTTGATATATAACTAAAATAAGTGTTTAGATCATGTTTGAGGCATTATTTAGTCACATGTATGGTTGTAGTTGTTCCAGAGGGCTACAAAAAACACTACAGAGTCCTCATATGACACCATCTGTAGTTGCGTCAGTAACGAAGGACCTCCCACGACATTATTTCAGCGCGCCGCCTTTATCAACCCAAACCACGGACGCATTATCTCGCGGCAGCACCGTTGGCAGAGCTCAGCTGATACTCTCCGTCACGACATTTTCAACACGCCCAAAACAACAAACGGTGACTTTCAGCTCGCTACGCCGACAGTTTTATTTCATTTACAGGAAACTTTTTGTTTATTTTATTAGACAGCTAACAGTGAAGAGCGACAGGACATCTGGGGCTCAGTATAATCGAAGGGGAAAGATCAGAGATAAAGTTCATGATCTCACCTACTTTAAGCATTTCACTGAGGTGCCTCCATGATGACGCGTTCCATCGGGTTGAGCTCTGATAACTGTTAAGGCCGTAGCATATGACTGAAAACACTTTTACATTCATCCAACAGTTCAGTGAGTCCTTGATCCCTGAATTCAATATGTTTCTCTACACATTTATTCATTTCTTTCTTTAATTTGTCACATATATGTAGCCAAGACCTCTGAGAATATTTAATGTTCTTATTGCGATAATGTAGTTTAGCTCCCATATCAGCTACTTTCATACTCAACACTGTGTCGCTATTGCAGCCATTATAGTGAATCAGTTTTAAACAGGTCACTTTATGACTTGGGTAGGAAACTAGACTGAACTAGAAACTCTGCAGCGTTCTACAGGAAGTGCCCGACTCGGCCCTTTTTCCTGCAGAGGCTCCGGTCCTTTCATGATGTTTTGTCGGCTCTGTGGTGGCCGGTGCCATCGTCTCGGGCAAAAGCCTGGGGTTGAACGACACCAAAAGTTTCAATAAACTGAATTTTAAAGACCGTCTCAGTCACGGGGATGACTCCAGACGATCTACAAGTAACAGCAGGGAGGAAGATGCTGTCAAAACACCTCTTCATCACGGACAACGACTCCTAGCTAGAAAAGAACATTCAGCATGATGACTAGAGGTCGTTACAAAAGTCCTCCCCTGATGAATTTTAATTAATTTACATATTTGAAATATTTTCAAATTGAGCATCTGTTGCAAAACTAATTTTCTGTGAGAATTATTACAGTTCTTTTCATTTATTAGGCGTGAAACTTGTGGAAACCAGGATAAATTGTCTCCCAGAAAAAAAAAAGATTGCTGTCAACAGGACCACGGGATGCTCGCTAAAGTCGTATTACTCGGTTTAATTACATCTACACCTGCTTTCATCTGGTACAAACAGATCTTAAAGAATCTTCTGTAATTGTGTCTACATTGTTTTATCTGCTCTGTGCAGGATTACAACCAATCTAGTTGAAACAGCTTTAAAGACCCCTATAGAAAAACTTTGATTCACAAGGATTGCATTTGAAAGATTACAACCCTTAAGAGATCTATAACACCCATCCATAAGTCATGTTGATTACAGTCTAGTTTCCAAATATATACAAGACTAATAGACCTATCAAACACATTTTATATATATGTCAGAAACAAAACTATAATACTGACTGTAATGTAAATGTTATGTCAAAATTTCTTGGCCACAAGACAGGCTACATGCCTTTGTGATTACCTCATACATGAGGCTGTGTGTTTTTGCACGTTATGACTGTTTGACCAAGATAAAAGCTGCGGATGTACACAAACTGGGAGATACTGGCTTTTTGGCACGTCGCTGGTGGTGCTCCAGTTTAACTGTGGGTCATGTTGTTTACAGTTCAGCCTTTAGGAACAAACTCCAGGTGAGTACAGTAGCAGATTAATTACTGTAGAAATGAGAGAAAGCTGAAAACACTCCAGTTTAATCATCTGCGTCACGAAGCTTCCTTTTAGACGATATGAACCGTCTGTAAGTGGCGCACAGAGACAGTAATCCATAAACCAACACCCCCTGAGCTCCAGTTTAACTCAAGAACAAACTAAATGTTTTTGGCTGCACTACAGGAGAAGCGTGATCCGGTGTTTTTGAAGCTTGTTGGGGACTGAAAATTGAGCATATTACTGCGCAATGCCAACCACGCTCTCGCCATCCTCCAAACTGTAGGAAATTACATCACCGAATCACGAGATGTTCAACCTATCCAGGTTATAACTCTTCCAAAATATAGACCTTGTTAGCATCGACTATTTATTTCACATTTTTAGAAGAATTCTCACTTATCGATCACATCTCGGTACTTTCCTGTTGAATTGCTAACGCGCAGCTCGCTGTCAAGGAGCAAAACAAGCCGGTGGCTCGTTACCAAACAGCAGCTTAGTTAGCAACCTGCGGGTAACGTTAGCATCCAGCTAAGCCTGACGTCAAGCTTGTGGAGCCGCTACACGTGTAGAACAACTTGTATGAGCTTTTCGACATCGTGAACGCTGTCACGTTACGAGAAAGTCTCAGTGAATGCTGAAACCGAGTTGTTCTGGGCGCAACGGTGAACGCGCAGATGCTGAGCTAGCTTAGCTAACTTACACAACTCACTCAACGTAACGGTCGCTGCTGCGCAGGACAGCAGCTCCCGGTGTGACACAACCTGAACGGACAAAAAAGTGCTCCACGTGAGTTTATAACTTAACACCGCGACTCACCAGGGTCAGCGCGGCTCTTGTGGGGAGTATCTTTCTTTTGCTGACCGCTCGGACGGTCGCTCGCACCATGGAGGCAGACATGTTGCTACTGTTAAAATCACAACATACAGTTGCGCAAGCGTGGAAAGAAATAGCCAACGCCCCTAAGAATTATCGCGCTCAGCGATTGGTTGATATTATGACGGACGTCGGCGACAGCCAATGACGGGTCAGTTGAAAGTATGCCAAGCTGTTTATCAGCCCCTGTTGTGTCACCTTCCTTTATTCTACTGTAACAGAGGCGCTGCCAATTCTTTTACGATTACAGGTGTAATTTACGCTTCAGTGGTAATACTCACGTTTGATATTTTCATTTAATCCCTAAGGCTCGATTGTCTTGTTATATGTAGTAAGCTAAAAAAAAAAAAAAAACAACAACAAAAAAACAACGCTAAGCTAAGACGTTTCCAGAACATGCAATCATGACTTCCAGGATGAATGATGAAAAATGGACTTTCACGCTGTACTGTGGTACATTTTTACACAAATCACAACATCTAAGGATCATAAACTCATCATCAGTCTTATACTTGTGCATAGTGAGTCTAGTTTCTTGTAAAATCATCATTAGAACAGCTGAGGTGTTGACCGGCTACAGTACCAGCACAAAAATGAGAAAAATAAAGTTCAGAAGAATAACTCATCCATCATAGTTTTGTCATTGCCTCCTATGTTGCTGTGTGGTCACACTTGTGGCCTTTGCTCTATATAAAGCACCACAGAGGAACTCCAGTCAACCTTCATAGCCTGCTGACTTTGATAAATGCACAAACCATTTATCCATCCATCCATCATCTCTACACCTTAATCCTCACTAGGGTCATGGGGGGCTGGAGTCTATCCCAGCTGACTCAGGGTGAAGGCAGGTTCACCTGGACAGGTAACCAGTCTATCACAGGGCTACACTTAGAGACAGACAACCAAGCACACTCACATTCACACCTACGGACAATTTACAATCACCAATTAACCTCAGCATGTTTCTGGACTGTGGGAGGAAGCCGGAGAACCCGGAGAGAACCCACGCTGCACGGGGAGAACATGGAGACTCCACGCAGGAAGATCCTGGGTGTCCTCACCGGGCGAACCGGCGACCTTCCAACCACCTTGCAGCCCCACACACCCTTTATGCTCAAAGCAAATAAAATAATAAAACCAACAACACCACATTGGTATTTGATTTTAGTTTAATGAATTCTTTGACACACAAAATGGATTTGCAAGCCAACCTTTCCTGGCAGGATCAGGGTTCCTTAATATCAAACTAAACCTTCCATTTGAGTCCAACAAAAAATAAAATAAAATAAAAAAAATACATAAGGCTGGTGTTAAAACAAATCTACTTTTAAAATGAGAAAATTGATTACAAGAACCACAACAAATTATTTCTTTTTTTTTTCTTTTCTATAAAATTCAGCAATATTAGGATAACGATAAAGCCAGACGGTCCAATATTCAGAGCTGAATGATAAGCAGGTCTTTGAGACATAACTAGCAGCAACATAATTCAAGGGCGTGGACCCTCACAGTGCAGCTACCAATCCGTGGCACCATTACAATGAAAGGAAGCCTCTGTGGCAAATAAATACATCAATCTTTCCGATGAACTAACTGAGATTACCTCTAGTTAAGGAGTGAGTGGCTGCAGTGTATGCCATCAGCTGGACCAGCAGATTGTTTGTTTTTCTTAAAATATTACCAAGAAACCTTTTACACAACGCTGCCGACTACTGTATGTGTTCTACTATTGCCAGCCTTCCTCGCCTGTGTCGTGGTACATACATACAGACCAGGGCTAGCAGGAGAAGGACAGTTTTACCGCCCTTCTGTTCGCACTTGCAGGCAGTTGCGGGGCAGTATGTATCCATGAACAGACGTGGACCAGCAGTCTCGGAGGATAAAAGTGTGATCCTAAAAAATACATCGACGGGGCGGCTTCTCTAAGCAAGGAGACACACTGCAGGTAGAGCGGATTTCAAGGCTTGAGGGGAGAGATGTCAGCACAGATGACAAATTAAACCAAAAATTAAAATAAATTCAACAAAACGGTCCCAGCCAATGTGAAATGTGCGCTGCCATTCAAACCTGTAATGTATTCTTTTTTTTTTTCTTTTTTAAATCCCCCAAAACATCCTCACAAACCTTCTGATTGGAGAATTAGGAATAAGTGAACCACGATCGTGATCATTCCATCTGACTTTAAGCCACTTTACGTAGCAGATATCATCGCACGCCGTCACCGTGTATTACTGCTGGAGCTTAATTTACAAACACCGGTGCTCACCAGACTGTGCAGACAGTTTCACCTATACAGTGTCATAAAGTGTTAGCATCAAATATAAGACAAATACATCATATGCCGTCTTCAAAAGATATCCTATTATGGAGATCTAAGCTATTAGTCACCTAACAGACACTTCTGAATTATTTACATTTTCGAATTTAAGACATTTCACACTGAATCTGAAATGACGTCGCTTGAAATGTAATGAAAGCTTTAAAAAAAAAAAAAAAAAAAAAGGACTTGACTGGCAGAGTAGGTAAATGAAGACATGAGGTGCATGCATAATGGCTTCTCTTGTTAAAATGAAAGCTTTAAAAAGCTCCTCTGAGGAGGAGAGCTTCGGGGGGGAAAAAAAAAAAGAAAAACACATAAAAAGGCCCTATTTGGCTTCAAGTCAAGGTGTCCTAGCTTTGGCTTTTAACGGGCTCACACTGGCCCAACAGTACCATTCAGATTTAAGGGTTTCTGGACTTTGAGTTGCTGTCTGCCTGGACAAGGAGTAGAATCTCAGGGTTTGCGTATCCACAGCTGCTGCGACGGCGGCTCATTCCACCGGGCTCTTCCTGTGACCAGAGCGACCCATATTTCTGCAGGCCAAGCTCCCTGAAACACACCAAAGAACCGTTAACAGTAACGCCAAACACATTTCTAACCTCACACCATCCCATGCCACGCCTCTTTTAGTCGAGTGCTGAGTGTGTGTGTGTGTGTATGCATGGAGGGTGGGAGGGACGGATTTATCTTATTTTTTAAATGCTGTAATGTTTTTAAATGATGTCATGTTTTGAAATGCTTTGTTGTTTTTAAATGTTGTAAAGCACTTTGTGTTGTCGTTGTATATGAAAAGTGCTATAGAAATAAAATTTGATTTGATTTGATGTAAAAAAATAAAATAATAAAAAAAAAATGATGTGACTTATCAGACTAAAAGGCAAATCAGTGCAAACCTCGTTCTGATAGACAGCTGGACTTTATTTTTCTGCTTTGTGAACAAGTATGCTCACTCACATGGTGGACAAGTAGAAGATGAGAACAATTAAAAGCAGACTGAGAAAGGTATACTGGTATTCTAGACAAAACGGCAGCAGGCATTCTCTCAAGGATCCAGGGGAAGAATCCTGAGCCTGACCCTCCTGAGCCTGAGCCTGCTTAGCCTGAGCCTGCTGAGCCTGCTAAGCCTGAGCCTCCTGAACCTGAGCCTCCTGAACCTGAGCCTGAGCCTCATGAGCCTGCTGCAAAAGCGTTGCGATCTCATTCTCCATCACCAGCCCTGAACAAGACACTAAAAGAAACTCGACTAACTTCTTTGCATAATGTAAGCAGAGCACATTGTCTCCAGAAATTACAAAAAAACATTTTTTGGTTCAAACTGACGGAACAGTTGTGTCATTCATGGGAAAATAAATGGGTCATTGTAGTATAAGTGCACCCTAACTCCCATATGTAGGCTAAAATGTAAAAAAAAAAACACTCAAAAAAGTAGAGTGGATGCTCCCCGAAATCTAATTTATTTATATTAAACAATTTACTGAGGGTTAAAATTACTTCCTACATTCCATTAAAATAAGTTCGTTTTTAAATCAACTAAATGTTAAATCAGCTACATCATGATAATGCAATGAAATCTTTCAGGTTGACAGTATATTTCCAACAGAAGGAGAAAAATAAATTTAAATACCTGCTTGTGGACTTAATATCACATTTTGTTGCTTCCTCTTCTTCTTTTCTTCTTGTGTAGGTAAACCCTAAAAAGAGCAGAAGACCAACACCGGTGTAGCAGTGTTAAAACAAGAAGGGGTACCACAGTGTCGACAAGGAGGCATTTTAACAGAATATTTATCATTAAATGAACGCAGACCTGTTTCTCCTTTTCTCTCAAGTTCCTCAAGTGGGCTGAAGAGGGAGAAGAAAAGTTTTCCATCTTCATATTACCTGCCAAATGACAATTCAAGATCAGCTCACGCCTCTATTATTGACGTTTTATCAATGCACAACAACATTTAAGTAACGCTATCTAACGGAAATATCTTTTGCAAGAGCTTAGTGATGCCACAAGAACCGATAAAGTGAGCGTGTGCACCTGCAGGGCTTCTGTTCAGGTGGCAGTCCTTCTTGATGTGGGCAGCGGAGCCACACAGGTAGCAGCAGCGCATCTCCAGTGCATCTCGTTTCCTCCAGTGTTCATTCTTGTATCTGACCTGATCCTTGCCGTCGTCCGCTGCGTCCATTTTGTCTCGCAGGTGCTCCGGCCTTTTGTCGGGATCCCGTCTGTGCTTGGACCTGGGCCAAGATCGTTCACAACATGAGTCCGGCGTGACGCACGTTTAAGCAACCGAACGCCGACGTATTCTGACTGTACCTACTTCTTACGCATCGGGCAGTCCTTCATGAAGTGGCCGATCTTGCCACAGATGCGGCAGCAGCGGTCATTGGGAGCCACCTGTCCTTCAGTGAGGACTTCAGGGTCAAAGAAATACTCCTGGGACAGATGCAGACAAATTACAGTGTCAGTGCTTATGACATCACCGTCACCACAATAAGAAAACATAGAGTCCAGACAGCAGATACTCACCATGTGACTGGGGTACGCAGGAGGAAAGGCTTTGACCGGCGTGCCGAACACGGTTCTGCCGTTGATAAAAGCCTTCATGATGAAGTTGGTCACTGTTTTGATGAAAGGTGACAAAAAAAATGAACATGAGACAATTTTTGGGGGAAAAATATAGAGAAAACGACAAAAGACTAAAAGAATGAGATAGAAATAAGGAAGTGATCGTACTTTTTCTTGACAGGCCGGCGCCCAGGTTATGATTCAGGTCGAATGGATCTGTGATACGAACAGAAAAACAACAAAGCAAGACAATTTAACAAAGTTTACATCCATGTCTGTTGGATAATATCTGTAATGAAGACTTTGAAGCGTTCACAGAGAGAAACAAAAAGAGTTAAACTTCTTGTACGCGTTCACATGTTTAGCAAATTAAGCTAAATCTGACAGAATGCAGAGCTTTAGTCGTGACAGTAGACGGTGCTTTAAATATGGATGCTGCTGCAACTTCTAGGCTGTAGACGTTGCAGCACAAGAGATCAACAGAAACACCAGATTAGTCTCATCAACTCAAACCAAACGTGCAATACGGTAACAACCTCAGTGACCCTTCTGATCCCAGCTTGTGGTGTTGAACAATGACTAGAAAAGCGTTTCTGCAGAGCATTATGGCATAACAGCAAAGTTTCACGTCTTGGATATAAAGTATCGTCACTGACTCATTTCATCCTAATGAACTTCTGTGTGAAATCAGCGACGCATTCTGGAGTTATGGCCCAAAAAAAAAAAAAAAGAGGTCACAGTGACCTCTGACCACCAAAACTTGATCAGTTTATCCTGGCGTCCAAGTGGATGAAGGACCGACAGAGCCTTCTGGCCAAAGCTGTTGCTGGTGTAGAGGCATTCATCCATCCATCATCTCTACACCTTAACCCTCACCAGGGTCATGGGGGGCTGGAGTCTATCCCAGCTGACTCAGGGTGAAGGCAGGTTCACCTGGACAGGTAACCAGTCTATCACAGGGCTACACTTAGAGACAGACAACCAAGCACACTCACATTCACACCTACGGACAATTTACAATCACCAGTTAACCTCAGCATGTTTGTGGACTGTGGGAGGAAGCCGGAGAACCCGGAGAGAACCCACGCTGCACGGGGAGAACATGGAGGCTCCACGCAGGAAGATCCCGGGTGTCCTCACTGGGACACGAACCAACGACCTTCTAGCTGTGAGGCGACGATGCGAACCACCGAGACACCTTGCAGCAAACTCTCTAACAACACTTTTTAACAAAGTCTAACAAGCACAATTTTTATTGGTCCTTTTTTTTTTTGCATAACTTTGTCACACAAACTGACCTTCGATGACGATGTATTTGGACGTCCACTGCTTGTTGAAGGTGGTGAGGCGGGCCTGCTGTCGGACGCAGATGACGTGCTCTCTGAAGTCGAAGTCTTCGGTGTAGAAGCGGAGCAGGCCGAGCCACAGCTCCCCCACGCTCTCAGTGTTGTTCCCGTGCTGTGGCCAGCGACTGGGCTGCAGGTGGAAGACGACAGCGTTACTGAGAGGCGGTGTTTGCATACGTGTTCACTAATAAGCCACGAATACGCACAACAGACTCACAAGCGTTTTCAGATCGTTAAAGAAATACACGTTCCAGCCATCGACGAGCACCTCTGGCTTCTTCTTTCCGTCGTAGATCTGAAACAAACCAATTAGTAAAACTGTAAGATTAGAAATATGACATTGCACCTTCACATCCAAAATGAAACGGCATCACAGACTAACCCTTCTGAGTGGTAAATTTATCTTTGCAGCTCGAGGAAAGGAAAACAAATCTGTAAATTCTGTGTTTTAACTAAAGGTGACTTTTACGTGGCAAAACTAAAATGCAAACCTATGCAGAACTTAGTTTAAAAAACATAAAAGCCTTTCTGAACATAGTCACAGTCGTGTAATTTGTACCTCTTGCAGCACAGGAATAACCGGTGGGTTTCTCTGCTGAAGGAAGAAGAGCACCATGAGGGTGTAGGCGTAGGACGACAGGCTGCCACGCGATGCATCCCCAATGTCACACATCTGGAACGGGACGGAAACAATCCAGTGGTCTGAACAATGCGGCGGCACAGAACGGCCTAAACATTTCACAAAGATGTTTCATGCTCACCTTGGCAAAAACCTTCATGACGTAACAGAGGATCTTCACTCTTCTGTCGATGGCGGCGTAAGAAGCCAGCAGGTTTGTGTTGTGCAGGGCCTGAGAAGAAAAAAGATCCGAATGTCTTGTTTTCCCGCTGAACCTTTTATCCTATTACTTTGTCGTGACCCGCTGGAGAAGACAAAAAAATACAAGCGAGCCCTTACCAGTGTGTTGTAGAGGCTGATGTCTCCCTCCAAGCCGGTGCGAACGTGGTAGAACTTCACGATGGGGACTTTAGCTGTGGTGATGGGGAGGATGTTCTTCAGACCTGGCGTCACGGTGGAGACACAGACACGGGTGAACAAACAGTGACAGCTTTGTTCCACTATTGCTCTCATCTTATCAGGAATTATGGGAGACACATACAGGAACTTAAGTTGATCAAAAACTTTTTTTTAGAGAACAATCGGGGCAAAAAGTTCCCTGCAGACTTTCAAAACAAGTTTTTTTTTCTAATTAAACATTTTAAAAGTTTGTCTTTGGGACTGATGAAAGCAAACACAGACATTAGCTGCCAGGAACAGACAGTTTTCTGGTGGAGGTGGAGAGCTTCACAGTCAACATGACCCACAGGGATACAAGAACCGCATTCATGCCCAGTTGGACAAAAGTGGAATTACATCATTTGTCTAAACTGAAACCGACATTGGCTGCAAGCTAACAAGCTAAAATATATAATGATGCACAAGACGTACATCTCCTAAGCCTTACCGGGGTGTTTCTTTAACATTCTCGCCAGGCTTTCAATGATCGTGATGCAGTCAGCGTCCTGTGAAGGAAAAAAAACATAAAGTAAGGATTCAGAATCAGAATGAAAGAAGTCGCCGTATTAATTACACAAAAAAGCCTCAGATTTTATTCCAACTGATGTAGAAGAGAGAAGAAATATCGACACATTGGTTTTGAGAAGCGAAACTTTCTTGTGACCAAACTTCAGGAAAAAAATCAGGACGAATAAACGCTCAACAGAAATACACCTGAACAGCAGTAGCTTCATAAAAGGTGATGTATTTGTGAAAAAAACAAACAGTGGGAGTAAAAAAAACAACAACAAAACAACTCACATCCATGGAGTCCTGCCCCTCCAACACCATACAGATGTCGAGGTCGCTCTGTCTGAAGCCAAAGCCGTTCTTGGACGACCCAAACAGCTGCAGTCGGGCTCCTGTGCAGCAAAAAAACACCATCATTTGTCATTTTTATCCTAAACACACTCAGTTTTGCTCAGAGTTCATGGCATCATCAGGCTGAGTCTAGTCTGAAAAGCTGCGAGGAAGGCGGTTCACTTCACCGGCATACTGTCGTCTGACGAAGGCCTCCAGGTCTTTGAGGATGTGTTCTCTCACATCCACTTCCAGTTCATCTGGGGCAAAGTCGGCTAAAAAGGGGAGTTAAAAAAAAAAAAAAACAGCTTCAGAATACTTTGTGGTTGAGAAGTTTAACAGAACACAAACCCTACCGATGGTTCAGAAACAAGAGGTCATGAGCTCAAGTGTTTAAAACCCATCAGGGCTCCGTGTAGGCAAGCAGCCGGGGGAGGCGGCTGTAGAAGTAGATGAGGATAGTTTGTCACGCTGTCAAGTGATAAAATGGAGAATATTCACCTGGAAAGTCCTGCACAAGGAACCTGAAACAGCTGCTGGAGCGTGACGTTGTGTTTCGCATTGATCGCATTGACACTGCCATATTTATTTTGTTTTAGTTTACAGCTTGATTTCAAACTCCCTTTTTTCTTATTTACATTTTAGAAGCACAACACAGAGATGTGCTGAGGTTGTCCAAGCTAACGATAAAGTTTCCCAAATGCACACCAGCTCGTGAGCAGGTGGCACAAAGTGGAAACGAGCAACAAGGCCGTGCAGTTAAGGGTTTGTTGAATTCTACTCAAAAGAACAAACCGTCTAAAAATCTGAAAACATTCTTGCATGAGCCCCAGTGTTGATGCCACATGATGCGAAACGCCTCAAAAGCTTATTTTAATTTAAACCACTTTCTCAAAACTGGCAAATTCTTGAAATTTGACGTTAGCAAGATGCAGGCAGGTGACATTTCCCGTCATACTCACTGAAGCACTGCTCACACACTTTGTTGAGGACACAGTGAAACTCCTGCGTTATCGGGGGCAAAGGATCCAGCTGCACTTTCTTGAAGTCCTCCGGACAGTCTTTCTTCAGATGCCCGTCGCGCTTGCACAAGCTGCAGACGACCATGTGCGACTAAGAGACAGTGAACGGAGTTTAACTCGGATGATTCACACACGCTTATTGACAGACATTCAGAAAACGACCATGAAGCTCAACTTGCCTTTCCTCTGGTGAAGGCCAGCTTGGTAAACTCGTACGACAGCCTGCCCTGCTTTCGGTTTTTATTTTCTGGGCATTCATCTTTGAGGGTTTCCCCTGAAGGCGGAGGTGAACCGCTGTCGGGTGCCATCTCCAGCTCTTCGTCCTCGTCCATTGAACCAGGTGTGTCCAAGTCTGGACCCTCCTCATCAGACAAAAGCTCCTCCCCCGAGATCTCGTCCACGGGGAAAATCTCTTCGTCCTCCGTGGTGAAGCTGTCCAAGTGGCGCCGGTTGTGCGTGTCCACGTCTTCATCGTCCTCCTCGTCTTCGGAGAGGCTACTTTTTCCCGGGTCCACTTTTTCCTTCTCTCTCTCTTCATCTGAGTCACTGTATTCTTCAACTTCCTCCTCTTCCTCGATGATGCAGTCCGAGTCGTCGGGACCATTCTGCGCAGCTTTGGACTGGGACTGAACACTGAGCCGACTGAACCCGGTCAAGCCCTCGGTGTCCTCGCCCAGAGCCTTAGCGTTGGCCCCTTCCACGGGGCCTCGCTTCGGATCTCTTTTGTGATTAGCAGCTGGCGTATTGAGTGGCAGTGCAAAGTACTTGTATGTGGTTTTGAGGCAGTGGAGGATGTACTCGTACATCTGCTGGCTGTTCACTGTGCGAGCCACATTTCTCTTCACAGCAAACGGATCTGAAAACACACAGGCGTTGGTTAGAGGTAAACCGTTCTTCAGTATGTGTATTCAATATCTAAAAAAAAGCTATCAGACTTATAATAACAAATCTAGGGTTGGGGAGAATTTGCAGCTTTTCAGAACCACCTAACGCCAAAACGAAATCCCACAGTTCAGACAGGACACTGTCAGATTTTTATTTTTTATTTTTGAAGTTATTTTTTTAGCCTTTATTTGACAGTGCAGTGAGAGAGAGAGAGACGGGAAAGTGGGGGAGAGGAATGGGGGAGGACATGTGGGTAGGGGCCATGAGCGGGATTCGGGCCCATGACCTCCACATCGGGACTGTGGCCCTGCACATGGGGCGCCAGCTCAACCCGGTGAGCTATAGCAGCGCCCCCACTTTGTCAGATTTTAACCATTTATTTGGGATCACAGACATTGACTCTGCTCGTGATGCTCTGGAACAATCTGAGCAAGCACGACACAGATAATCCCCGAGATCACAAACCCCCGCAGAGCCATGAATTTACAATTTACAATTTTTCAAATACGGTATGAACACGAGAACAGGAGACCAACTAAATAGTCTTCACATACAGAATCTAGTTTACATAGTTCAAGGTACAATAATGAATCATCTGCAACCTACAGTCCCATGCTATGGGAAACACCGGGGTTATAGGAGATCGAATTGTTTTTAAAAGGCGGTGGTTGGGGAGGAGGAGGAGATTTGATCTGCAGAGGCTGGAGTAGCATCGATGTGGTGAGCGTAAAGCTGCCTCACTTATAAAGCACGCTAAGTGGGTGGGCTGGACTTTAGCGATGACGATTGGACAGGAGGGGCCATGTGACACCCTGACTGAACTAACGCGAAGCTCTATACAAACCAAATGATATTAACATGCTGTTTTACAAATACAGAACAATTCCTTTGCTTCTGACCTTCCACAGCGATGCGTTTCTTCGGCCAGTCCTTCATCTCCCGGGAGAGAACGATGCTGGTCCGCACGCTGATCACGTTGTCAGCCATGTTGAACTCCAGCGAGTAGAAGCGAAGCATTTCAACCCACAGGAGGCCAACTTCCGCCGGCGGGTGAGGGCTTTGGAACACGAGCGGGACCTTTAAGAAACCGGATGACACGCACGCATGCATTACTGCCGATTTTCCAAAGTGCACCAGATTTTCTTTGGAGTTTTTGTCTGATTCACCAAAAATAATGTTTCCTGTTTCTTCAATCATGTCTTTTGGTGTACAAGTTTCTACATCTACAAAAATCTGATCTAGAAACAGCAAATTCATTTAAAAAACTCATAAATGATCATATCAAAGAGCCAAAAGTTAAGAAGATGAGGAACTACATCTTCATGATTACCTTCCCCTTTATAGTGGAGCCCTCTGCTGGCTGCGACGACTCTTTGGAGGAAGGAGTGTACGCCCAGTGTAAATACCCATCCTCCGTGTGAGTGAGGTTGAAGTCCGACAGCCTGCTGAGTGAGAACACCTTGATCTAAAGACAGTCAGATGTTTCTGTTAGTTTCCACTGAAATTAATACTTGGGGTTTTACTGAATTCAGACTGCAGATGAACAGAAGCACCTCTTGGTTCAGATACGTAGGCAAGAGAGACTCTTTGCGCTTCTGCAGGAAGTAGATAACCATGAGGGCGAAGACGTACGGCGGCAGGCCTCCTTCCTCTGCGCGGTCAATCTGACAGATCTGGACCAGAAGCAAGAACATCGCAAAAACAAAATGTGATATTTGGCCAAATGTATGAGGCCTCTTTAGTAGCTGCCTGCTAATGTGAGAAAGGTCACGGTTTAAAGTAGAAACCGACCTGGGCCCAGCGTCTGAAGCTCAACACCAGAGGGAGGAGGAGCGGCTCCCTGCTGGCTATCGCCGAAAGATAGGAGGTGGTTTGGAATGCGTTTTCATTCCCCGCGCTGACTTTGCAGATCAGGCCGCTGTCGAGAGAAATAACAAGTTTCCGTTAAGGGTTTTAATGCTCTTGTGTGTGTGATAATGAAACCGTGATGAGTCTTTTTTTCTCTCTTTGCATGTAAGAAAACCCGTCTCAGCAGTAGATCCCGACTTCAAAGCTTCAAAAACTGATCGACAAATCTGACATAAAGATAAATCAAGAAGCCATAAACGAGATGCCAACCTCTTCTTCTCTTTGCAGATGACCACAGGCACCCTGGCGTGAAAATCGGCTTCCAGGTCGACAAAGAGAGCTGAGGGAAGGAACAACGAGGCGTTTTTAAATTTAAATCTTCCGTGACCGTTCAGCACATGACTGACTTTTCCTACGGAGGGAGTTCAGTGAATACGAGGTGACTCACGGCTCACGGAGAGGGTCTCCTTCACCAACAGCAAGACGTCCGGCTGATGCATCTGTGAACACATTCCATTTCAAAGCCTTTACACAACAACACGCAATATAAAGACAACTTGGGTGCACAACATTCACAAATCAATTACTGTGGAAACCTAACATGTTTAGAACGCATCATTTTTTCTGTTTATTTTATATGTCTTCATAATGCCAACCTAAAACTTTGCAGCTAACAATTCATAACATCTTGCAGATCTTCTCTAAGGCCTCGTCCACACATATCAGGGCATTTCACAAAACGAAGATATCTTTCTACGGTTCGGCCTGTCATCCACACGAAAACGCAGATTTACGGCGTTAAAAACGATTCTTTCAAAAACCTCCGACCGAAGTGAAGATCTGCGAATCCTCCGTTCATGTGGACGCCAATAACCGGGTTTAGGTTTCGAAACGTCACTGCCTGCGACAAATTATGTTCTTTACATCACATATGCGACCTGTGTTTACATTTGGAAACAGCGTGGACGCCCTCAGAGCCGTGTTGGTGTTGTCTCTGGTCCAGGCCCAGATACCGCTCCAAGAACACAGGCGACGGACGGCGTTGAGGACGGTTATTTTCCGCCACCTTGCCATTCCACGTCCGAGGCATGTTCTCCGTCAAAGACACCGACGCCGGTTTTGGGTCAGACCGGGACGCACTGCCAGCTGGTGGGAGAACTTTGAAATCGTGCTCTAGGAGGAGTGGCGTGATGATTTCCACAAGTCCTGGTCGTCGCTCCTGTCGTCGGAGTTATTACATCCTCACGTAGAACATGGATGTGCTTAAAAACGCACTAATGCGGTTAGATGTGGTTGGATTCTTTTCTAAAAACGAGGTAGTGTGTACGTAAGTTTCTTCTAGACAGAGCGGGCAGGATATTCAGTTGTACAAAAACCCTGCTACGTGTGGACAAGGCCTAATTGAAGCTATGTGTGTTTTGTCTGTTCTGGAGGTAGTCACGGGGAGATTCCGTATATATTTGATAGAAACACGGCAACATAACGGCATTCACACTATCCGACTCCCGCTGGGCTACTCACATGAGGAGGATACTGAATGTCAATGTTGACATCCGAATCCTGAAATCCAAATTTAGTGCAAGATGATCCATACAGCCTGAGCCTGATCTCTGCAAATGAGAGAAAGACAGAGAATAATGTTATGAGCAATACAAACCAATGTAAAGCATAAGAGCCAGCTGCCTGTCGTTTCATTTAGGTCATGCTTCTGCCACAGAATGAATATTTCATCCTGAGACGTCTTACCGGGCAGGACGCTAAGAAGGAGGTCCTGCATGACGGAGACAACGCATTGTCTTTTCTCCACGTCCTGGTCGTTCATCCCATGTTGCTGCACAACAGCCTGAAGCGCAGCGCTCACTGCACTGATCTGCTCCGGACCAGGAGGCAGAATCTCAGTCAGCATCACCTGCTCCTGCCTCTCCTAGAAACACACAAGCAAACAGGCGTTCACTCCATGAAGAATAAAACTGCTCAATGACAGTACAGGAGAGCCATCTATCAGCAAACGCTCGCTGTTATTATGAAAATGGAAGTGTGCGTATTAGGACAGTTTCTCACTCTGGCTCTTTTCTTGTGCCGCTTGTCTCTGATGTGCCGGTAAGCATCCGACACAGACTCCAGGAGAACATCACACAGCGCGCAGGTGTAAAGTGCGCCAGGGTTGCTGTGGGACTTCTGAACCAATTTAAAAATAGGAAAGTGCAGATATTAGATGCAAAAAATGCTATGATGCTGTCACAGATGCTCTTAACTCGCAACCAACTAGTAAACAATTCAGAAATTATATCACAGAAAGATGCTTTCTCAGGTTGAGGTGTCAGTTTTTGAGACACTTTATGATAATCAGAGTCTTTACCTTTTTCAGGGAGAAGATTTCCTCCCTGTTAAGCCGCCTCTCCGTTTGCCGCAGGCTGCGCAGATCTTTGGCTGACAGCGCAGACTCTTCGATCACAAGGCCCCTGTTCTCTTCAGAGAAAGGTTTCTTCTTGTTTCTGTTTCTCCGTCTCCTTCCTTGAAAAGAAGAAACCCACAATGATGTGTCACAAATATGTCGGCACTGTTTTTGGGTAGGTTATGCTAATCAGTGCTGCGTATGTGGCAGAGATGATGCCGTAGAGCCAGTTCTTCCAGTCACACTTACGGCACATCACTGTGACCACAATCATTTATACTTCCACAGTCTGCTTTAGATGTTTTCAGGCAGGATTAATCCTAAGTGTTCCACTCATTCCCTGGGGTCTGATTTCCAAATCCTCACCTGAACTGTTTGCACCGTCATCCCCAGGGTCTCTCCCGCCCTGCTCCCGGTCTTCCTTTGGACCTTCTCCGTGGGTACTTCTCCTCCAGTGCTGCTGCTGCTGCTGCTGCTGCTGTGAGCGCTCTCTCCAGTTATCTTCTCGATACCCACCACTGTTTTCAGGACCTGAGAACCACCGGAGGTCATCCCGCTGAGAGGGGCTGTGACCACCTCTGAATCCACCGGGAGAGTAGCTCAGGGGCCCCAGGCCTCCCTTCTTGGGGCTCGCCCAGTACGGCCCGGCCTGGTTCTTCTTGCCCGGCTGACCGCCCTCTGGTCTGAAGTTCTGCCCTCTAACGTGGTCTTGCATCCTCCAGCCTTCTGCCTTGTCCGTTGATGCTGCTGCTCCCCTCTCCCAGCTGCCTTGCTTAGCCCGGTACGACCTGCCGGGTTTGTCCATGGTTCACCTGTGCTAAAACTGAACGATGAAAAGCCCAGTTAATGTAGACACAGTCCTCATGTGACCGAAACACAACAAACTGTGTCTGCCTCACTTCAGGAAACTTTCAGTGGCTGCAGGTTTCCCAAATGACATGTAATTCACACCAGACCGTTGCAGCTACGTTGAGCCAACAGGTAGCTGGAGATAGATTTAGCATTTTTAACCTTCGTGTAACACAGTCTGACCAACTAACTAACTGTTAACCGACTTTACCTGGCTGTAAACGTTTACAAGTGCAGGCTGAAATAATGACCCCAATGGCACCACTGGTACTTCTCAGGACACGACACCAACCATCCATATATCACCATTAAACGGTTAACGGGTCACTGTTTACGTACAAATGTGTTGTCTCCCAACGACTCCCAACTTACTTGGCTAACGGCAGCGTTAGCCCTCGAACCCTCTGCCTACCTGACTTTGTTTATGGCATGGTGTTAGCTTGAGCTAGCACACTAGCCTCTGCAGTGTTATTTGGCTCTTAATGTCTTCCGCTTCCTCGGGTTAACGGTGCATCGTGTTATCACGTATGTGCCCTCACACGCCGTCAACAAACGAGCGTCGGTCGCCACATTTAACGGCGTTTACTGCTGCCACACAGCGACAGCCAGGCTAATGGTAGCTGCTAGCCTGCTAGCTAGGACAGCAGCAGCTTGCTACACAGCTAGCAACAGCTAGCGTTGCTGTTTATTTTATAGTTTCTGTTGAGCTGCGCGACCTGCAGCTGCGGGTCGAGGCAGCGGACAGGTAAACGCCAACGAGAATGAACCATACATACCAGTGAAGTCCTTAAATTACCTGTAGTACGCGTACAGAGGACATACTTGGAGCCTTGTTCAGGTCTGACTTGGCATGATCCCTTGTCTTGCTCTGGAGTTTGAAAGGTGACGCACAGCCTGTGTGTGTTTTCTAATCGTCAGCGGCAAAGTTCCGCCCACCGCTAAAAACAGCGCAACGGGCTCCTCTGGTTTTTAATATTACATAAAATAATTATCGTTTGAACTGCAGCCAGGAAGCCTTTAGGAAATTAAAATTTAATTGAATAAACATGAAAGTCTCCGCAAATCTCTGCTGTTGTTCGTGTTCCTGTTTTGGGATTTTCTGCCATTTTATTTAATTTTATCTTAATATTACTACTACTACTACTACTAGTACTACTACTACTACTACTACTACTAATAATAATAACAATATAGCCTAACACCATTATACAACCTTTTTTAATATATATAACCTGACAAACAACCCATTTCACATGTAAACATTTAGTTTCAGTCATTTTAAATTGATCATAATTTCACATAGCTTGAAATCTAATAAGAGAAATAACAATTTCCATGAATTTTTTTGTTTGTTTGTTTGTTTTTTAGACATATTAGGTAAGACATTTAACACAAAACACATAAAATTCTTGTTTCCAGTCATATTTCACATTTAAAAAAATATTTCTATATCATTTGTGTAACACTAAGTTATATTATCTGTTGGTTTTGTCTCATGACATGTTCCCCCAAACAGCAAACAAATCAAATGTATTCATATACCACACTGTTTTTAAAAATTAAAATACATTTGAGTTGAACAAAGTGCTGTGCATGTTATGAAAAATACTTTATTCATCCCAGAAGGGAAATTCAATTATATTAATTAATTAATTAATTAATTAATATATAATTATAAAAAGGCAGCAACAAAATGTGTAAAAAGCAAGACAGGATCAGTACATTTGTAAAGCAAAATAAGATAAATACAAATTAGGTTTTATTATTATTTTTATTTGAAACTATTAAGACCATTAGGAGCAACAGGAAGCCATTGGAAGCATGTGGATCTTGAGATTTTCTTAAGAAATGTAAATGGTGGAGGGACATTTGATTTAAAGAGGAAAGCCACTCTGAAGCTTTTGAGCTGCTTCTGCAAAAACACTCTTATCGAACAACCTCAATGGTGAAACAGTTTAAAGCAGTTGTTCTGAACATCTAACAGGTCTGGAGGTGGACCAGAGGGAGACAAACCATCATGCCACAAATCCAAGAACCCTGCAGAGATGCTGTCATGGCCTCCAGCTGTGCTTAGTTGCAGCCTTCCCCCTCATGTGGGCGGGGTGAGGTGTGTGGAATGCGTGCAGGTGAGGCCATTGGATAATTACCTGAGTGAGCACACCTGAGGCCGGGTGTGGTCCACCTGACAATCATCCGCTCGCGCCATAAAGTCGACACCAGCTGGTCAACACGGGCCACGATTATGGTCTGGCTCCGTGTCACCCCGTGTTCTCCTCTGCCTCAGTTCCACCTGCCCCAGCTGAAGTCTCAGCTCCGATTCACCTCCACCTGGTTCCTCCACTTCCTGCCCAGCCACGCGCCTCCTGCGTCCCCTCACGTTCCCTCCCCGTCAGGCTGCCAGCTAAGTCCTGTCTCACTCTCTCTCCGGTTCGTCTTGCCGTTAACTTTCACATCCTGGTCGTCCCGTGTCCTGGTTAGTCAGCCCTCATTAACTATGTCAGCTTCTGTCTGTCTTGTTGGTAGTTTGGTGTTTTGTCCTGCTGCGGCTTCCGTAGCCACTTCTCCTTCGTACCCTTGGTACTCTTCCCAGTGAGAGCCTTAGTTCCCTACAAGCACAGTGAGTGTGTGGATGGATAGTTCATGCCTTTGGGGGAAATTCAAGGTATCCAGTTACACACACAACAGAGGAAACTGCTGGTATTTACAGATATATGCAAGAATTGTTGTATTTATAATAAAATAGACTGTTAGAGGACAGAATACAAAAAAAAATGAGTCACTGAAATGAAGCAGTCATGTGATAAATGACTCAAGTTTAGGATTCCTAATGGGGAAAAGCTTCCCTCTTTATTTTACCATTACTGGCTGATAATGAATTTTTATTTGTATTTAAAGCTAAGTATGCACAGTTGCTGTGGTGGTGAACACTTGGTTTGAATTTGTAACAGCAAGAAGACAAGTTGCAGCTTTAATTTCTCGTATGATGCCGCCTTACTTCAGCCTGAGCAGAGGTATGTTATCCCTGCCATGCTCCTCACTGAGCTGTTTGCTGTGGCTGAGTATGATTAGATGATGGGTTTTATCATTTACAAGGTCCTTACATTACTTCATTGCTGTTTTTGATGTGGGCTCTTATGCACAACCAAATGACTGGATCACATTTTGGCTCTTTTTACTGAACCTGGAAAATCAGCTGTATACACCTGCAACCCGGAATAACTCTTCAAAGTCTGACTCATTTTTATTCTTGGGGCAATTCAGGGTTTTAGCTTCACCTGTTAATTTAGTTACAGCTGCTCTACTTTTAGACGATTCCTTTGCTTTCAATCTTAAATGTTTTGTTTTTTTTATTTTAATTCAAGGTTTGTATTTGTGTGCCTACATCTTTGATTTTGCTGCTTTGTAAATGAGGCCTCCATATCTCCAGTGTAGTCTGAGTTTAATACAATTTAAATCTGTAAGTTATATTTAGAAAACAAAAACATTGGATACAGTTTGTAATAGATGAGGGGAAAATTAACAATTGAGACCAAAAACGTTTTGTACCAAGACTGCAAACATTTTTGTCTGCTGTTAAGTTGAATGTAATAATAATATTTCTAATAATAATAATTAAGGTGCTACTTCTCTTTGCTCAACATCTCATCATCTACACTGTTTATTGGTCATGTTCCATCTCCACACCTTCAGTCTGCACTCTTTTGATAACACTGGGTTACAAAAAAATACTTTTTTGAAGGTGGCTAGGATATTTTTTTAAAAACTGATTTCTGACATTTTTGTGACACTGAATCCAAAAATGAAATCTGCTTTTCTCTATCAGGTCAGGTTTTTATGTCAACTTGATTTTTAAAAAATCGATTTTGCCACTGAATCGATGACATTTTTTTACATTAGTGATTGATTTGTTTTAGTATTTCTCATATGAAATCAGATTTTAGAGAAAAATTCATTTTCTAATCCTTTTAATGAGCTAAATGATCCAGAAGTTGATGAGCGTAAACATCTGTAGAGGTAAATACAAGTAAATTGAATGTTTCATCAAATCAAAATTTTGACCTCATTGAGCAAAACCGATGTGATGTTTGGATTCAGCTCATTGCAATTGTCCAAAATCAGCTCAAAAAACTTTGACACCAGAATGGGTTCAGACCAGTGTAATCTGTATGAATGTGAACATCAATATATCTGCACCCTCAGTATTCTTCTAAACAATCCTACAGTTTTATGGTTCTTATTTAAATTTAACTTCAATTCTTCACTCTTCAACATTTTGTTTTTGCTTCTGCTTTGCTCTATTACAGTTATTTTTATTCTTAGTTACTTTTATTTTACTCTAGAATTATTGTTGCACCTATTGTGTAAACTATACCTGGTAATAAATCTGGTTCTGATAATATGAGGGTCTGTGGAGGAATAAGTTTCAGCCTCAAGTGCTCATTTGAGGAACTGCAGTTTGTGGCACATCATCTTTCAGCGGTTTCCCTTTTGGTAAGCTCAGTGTATACTTTTTTTGTGTGTACTTTTACTTAAGTAGACATTACACTAAGTACAGATTGCTTATAAACTGCAAACCAACTTTTCAACATTTGTCTGATCAACTATAAATCTGTATTCAGTCATTTATTCCCAGGACCACTACTCTATAAAATCTCATTTGTTTAGCTTTGAGATTTCAGTCTCAGTCATGAGGGTGATTCAGATGACAGGTCGACGTCTGGGGGTTGTTTGGCTTCGGTTGCCAGGGGCGACAGGAGAGAAGGTGAAGCTGCACGAGCGGGGAAGACCCCGGGAAAAGTGACGTCAGCAGACGGAGCTCCCCTCTCCATCCCATAATGAACATCGGCCTCAGTAACACTGAGCAGCTGCAGGGATGGTGTCGTTAGTGGACGGGGAGCGTGAAAGCGGCCGCAAAAAGAGACGCACAAACTGCGCATCTCCTCCAGCAGCTGCGCTCACAGCGGCTGAGCAGCGGCGGACGGACCGGCACCGGAAACAGACGCTCATGTCCAGACTGAGCGACTCCGGCTTCGAGGAAGACCTGATAAGTTTCCCGGCTCAGGCAGACTCGTCAGACGAACCGGAGACTGCAGCGGGACACCGGTCCACCTGGTACCTGCAGTACGGAGACGTCGGGTTCAGGATCCAGAGGGAGAAGGAGGCGCAGTTTCACCTCTGTGAAAGCCTCGCAGGACAGCCTCAGGTAGGACATGACACACTTCATACAGAGTTATCATTAGACTACACGGATATAGAAGTAAAACAGCAGAATTATGGAAATATGTTTTGTTTTTTTTACTTTTGCATGAATCAGACTTCTCTTCTGTACCTCTTTCTACTTAATTAGCCCACACTAAATAAAGAAAACAGTTATTTTGTGGAGTATCTTTGCTAATTTACAGATAAAGTGGGGACAGAATATAATCAGTAGTAAATATCCCCAAACTGTAAACAGAATCCACATCAAATCTGTATTTTTCATTCATTTATGTTTGATAAAGTTAAACTATTTTAATCAGACATCAGATATTTGTGGCCTTTGAAGGACATTGTTTGTATATTAACAGCTGAAACGTTTGCAGTTGACAGCAGAGGCTCGGTGTAAGCTGGTCAGCTGGCTCATCCCCGTGCACAAACATTTCCGTCTGTCCTTCGAGTGCTGCTGCCTGGCGGTGAACATCATGGACAGGTTTCTGGCCTCCATGCCGGTCGCTGCCGACTGCTTCCAGCTCCTGGGCGTCACTGCGCTCCTCCTCGCCAGCAAACAGGTCCGACTCTGAGCGTGGTGAGAAGCAGATTGCTTGTACGTTTGATGGGATTCATCCAGTATAACCAGCTTTCTCCTCTGTGCCCTCTGCAGGTGGAGGTGTGCTCTCCACAGATCAGCCATCTCCTGTCGCTGTGCTGTGATGCTTTCACTAAAGAGCAGCTCTGCAGACTGGAGTGCCTCATCCTCCTCCGCCTTAACTTCCGCCTCGCTGCTCCCACTCTGGCCTTTTTTCTCGACTTTTACACCAACTGCATCGAGGCCGCCCAGCTTGGGACTGAGACCACAAGTGGTGACGGCTTTGTGGGAATGAATTCGGACACCAGAAGGCCCAGGCGGTGCAGCAACCTCGCGCAAAAGGTGTGCGAGTTGAGTCTGGCAGACTACGCTTTCAACAAATACCCACCGTCTCTGACCGCCAGCTGTGCGCTGACGTTAGCCAGCGAGTTACTGAGAAATGAACAAGATCCTGCGACCCTCCAGTTTCACCAAGACCAGTGGGACGCTCCATGTACACAACCAGGCTCTGGCCAACCGTCTGAAAACTCTGAGCCTTGGGAGGGCGACCGTTTGGCCACAAAGGACCGACTCCTGCCTGCAGGAGAAAAGAGTTCCAACCACAACCTGGCACAGGAATGCAAAGACAACCTGAAGCTGCTGGTGTCCCTAAACCAGGAGACGCTGGAGGCCATGTCCACCATGTGAAGTGTACCATTAACATTCAAATCCCCTCTTCTTGGTTACTTTCTAGAGGTTATTTAATCAAGTGGAGGCCTTTTAAGGGTTCAGAGGAAGGTGATGACTGGATGTCTGTTTTTATGCAAACCTCATGTATACCTCATATACAGTCAGTGGATGGTTTACAGCTTAGTATTATTTATTTGTAGCATGTATATCAAAGTATAATATAATTTTATCTTGAAGTCATTTGTTCTGTATCTGCACTGATTTGCTTCACTTTTGTAATCTCTCCAATGAAGGATCTGAACGATGTGCTGTAATTAACTGATCTGAAATAAACGATCAAAAAGTGTTTTGTCTCTGAACTATTATGTATGAGCTCATAATTAAATGTAATCTGGTGTTTAATCACGTGATCTCTGAGTCTGTCAGGTGTCAGAATGTCTTCATCACATCAGGAAGGAATCTTTAAATTTGACAAAAAGCAAATAAACTCTGTCTGTGCTGAACGTTTTCACTGGAGTTTGTCACAGCAGAAGTGTCTTTACAGCAATGACAGCTCCATTTCACATGCTGCAAACTGCACCAGATAAACCCATTCAAGCAGCAGGTAGCACATAATTTTTGATCCACTAAATGGCTCCAGTCAGAGATATGAGAGCGCAGTGAAGCTGGATAACAGCAGAAATAAATAGGAGGAGCACAAATTCTTGCTGCCTACAGACTCTTGAGCTTGTTTGCCTGAAGGCCAGTACACCAACGCGCTCTGTTTACCGCTGGCTGTTATATTTGTAACCGAACTGTGCCAACACAGTCTGGCCCATTGAGGGGCTTTATCTGATAATCCATTACGCGTGGCAGCTCGACCTGCTGACACCGTGTCGACCACACAGGTGCATTCAGCGTTAAGTAGACTCGCTCTTGTTTGTTTACTAATCGAGGCATTTGTCACCAGTGTTGACTGAGCTGTCTGCTGTAATTACCCTTTTCCTTTTTCCACTCGGCTTGAAATGTTGCAACAAGCCTTCTCCCAACTGAAGCTGATATTTTACGCACAGTCGGATAGAAATTACGCACAGGCTGATCTGGTCACAAAATCACTGCCCCAAATAAAAAAGTTGAAGTGACAACAACAAAATATATAATAAAAGACAAGCAACTACGAAAGTGTTGCGTTTAAAGAGATACTCCATGATTTAGTGAGTTTATTGGAGTGAGTGTCTACCGATGCAACCTTCACCGCTCAGCCTCTGGCGCAGGGAGTATTTGCCCTCAGGTTGGAGGGAGGGCAGCTCTGAGGCAGAGAGCACCTGCTGCAATGGCGCCGTTACGCGCGGTACCGCTTTTACACCTCACACTAAAACCGTTAGTCTGCACCAGTTTAATCTCCGAGGACGCTGTGGCTCCCTGGAGACCGAATCAGTGCATCTGATTGGGTCGAAAGTATGAAACCGCGGCAGAGAGAGACACAGACCGGGAGAATGTCGGCTATATCAGCTCTAAATCACATCATGTCACCACAGTTCTGCAAACAGAACCGAAGTGGTGGAGATGCAAAGAGACAGGAAGGCGTTTGGGGCGATTTGCCCCAACCAGAGGGGGCAACGAGGGAGGAGAGCTGTAGGGAGCAGTAAGGTATGAAATCTCTAATTTTACAAAGACGCACAATAAAAAAAAACAACTCTGTGCTGTTGATAAAACAATCATTTCTTCTCGCAGGGTGCAATGCTGGTGCCAAGAAGCAGCAGCCCGGTCACTGTGTACGTGGAGCTCCCCTGCATCATTGAACAAGGTGTGCGCATCTCTGAGGTTTGGTTGAGCTTCATGCACAACCTAAGAAAGTATCTGCAAATCAGCAGACTGCCTTAATCCTCCAGTTACGCTGTTATTGTGTTGTAGCTTTGTCCACAATTGCCTGGGATGATTTGGAGGACTGTGCGTCTGTGGTGAGGCAGGAGAGGAACTCCATCGGCTCCCAGGTGAGAATAAAAAAACATCAAATGAGAAATGTACTTTTTTTTATTTATTTCGGCCTCTTTTTTTGTTGTTGTTTTTCATGTAAATCTTTAGAGCAGAAGATCTGATGCGGTGGCAGATCTGCAGCTCTGCATCACTCTGTTAATGTTTGACACGGTGTGCTGGAATCCTGCACGAATGGCATCTTAGTTTACTCATGACACACAGCAGACTAATTGGTCGGACCTCACAAGTTTTTTTCTTTTCCCTACGAGCTGCCTCTCTGGCACAGATCACCGTGAGCTCATTAGGCTCCACTGAAGGTCCACAGAGATGAGCACTATGACATATTCTGCTTTTAAGCCTCGTTGCCCTGTTTGGTCCTGGTGGCAGTTTCAGGTAGAGCTGTGGTGATTCTTTGTCAGTGGAGGATTTAAAACTCATCCATATATGTGCTAACTGTCAGTTTTATTCTCAAACAGGTGAATGAATCTGATCCAGATGACCAAGACTTTGGAGATTATGCTCTGGACTTCATGGCAGGTGAGAAACCGTTGTGTTGAGAGGCTGCTGCTGCTGCTGCTGTATCATCATTCTCATCATCCTCCACTGACGGGATTCTCTAAAGTCCTGCATCTCTGGCTGCTTCGTGTCCTTTGCAGATTCTCCTGCCACGCTGGAGAGCAGTCTGTCTCCGGCTGAGCTGGTACCGTTTCAGGGATGTGTCATACCGCCGCTCACCCCTCAGCGGGACTTCTCTCCAGAGCACAGTCTGGTGGACTCATCCACAGAAACAGGCAACCAGGATGGAGCTCCCTGGAGGGACATGGCCCAGTGCCATGGCAGGGCTCTGGGACACTCCATAGCAGCCAATGAACAGGTGAAGAATCTTTTCATCTTGTCTTGATGGCTTCGGTACACACGATAGGACAATATTGATTTGTGCTGTAATCAATCTAAATTATTCAGAAGTTGTGTTGTTGATGTTGTCAGTCACTCAGTTTCTAAACTCATGGATTGTACATGAATTAGTTATGTCAGAAAGAAGGAATGGACTCAGAAGCATGACTGAACTCATTTTGCTTGGCCTGCAGCTCCATGAGACTCTGCACAGACAACAGGAGGCGATCGACTCCCTTGAAGAGAGGAACATTCACCTCAGGCAGCTGGCCAGTCGAGCCAAACACCTGGCATTGGTGCTCGAGGTAAGAACTTGACTGAGACGTGATAAATAGAAGAATAGAAAACACAGCTTCTTACACTTACGTTGTCAGAACTTATGTGTAACATTTATTTCTGCTTTTATTCTTTTCTTTCAGAAGCTGATGACAGTCAGAGACCCCAGTGGCAGAGAACCAGCGATGCCTTGCGGCGATAAACCCTCCCTGAGTCCCTGTAAGCGGCAGCGCCTGGACGAAGGCTATGAAACAGAGTCCGGTGACTCGGTGGAGGACATGCTGAGGGACGTCAGCACTCGCTGCAACGCCGTCCTGCACGGCACCGCCGCAGCACCGGGGCTGCAGCAGGAATCAGAGACCATACGCATGTTCGGTGCGTTCTCAGGCCTGCAGACGACCAAAGACAGCAGCGTGACTGTTGACGGAGCCGAGGCTGAGAGCGTGTCATCCTTCAGAACCTCCGTTAGGGAACACTGCACCATAAGGACTCAGGTCTTCCCTCATGGACACGCTTTTACCTCCAGGTCTCAGCAAGGTGGATACCGCTTCCGCTGGGTTCCCAAGCACAGCTGAACCCAGAGATGAGCACGTGAAGCTGCAGCCGTCATGTGGTTCTGATTAATGACGTGAAGGAGCCACGAGACGGGGAGGAAGTGTGGGTGGGCGTCAGCTGTTAATGCTTAACTGATAATCTATAGTGATATCTGTAAATGATTCAGTGATGTCTTCCTCAGGTAGCCTGTGAGCTAATCAGTCAGGAGTGGTGCTGGACAAAGGAAACGACACTGCCGGCCTGTTGTTTACGCTGTGTTTCTGTTTACATGCATCTCACTGCACATTTCTGTTACAACAAATAAAAGTTTTTCTAAAAGGTGTAAAAAAGAAAGTGGTGTTTTTTTCTTTGCAGCTTACGTGGAAAAGTTTTTCAGCAGAACAGGAGGCTCGTGTGACGTTTAGGCGAATGGAAAGAAACTAAGTTCAGCGTGAACTCTGCTTGTTTGAGCAGTGAAGCCACAGTAACCCCATGACCCGCTCATAGAAGCTCAGACGTCCTTCCCTTTTGTCTGTGGTCTGAAAAAAAAGGCCCTGAGTCACTGCAGCCAACATCCTTGTTTATATCCTTTTTGGAACTTTACACAGATTTTCTGTTTGTCCTGCTGCGTGATGCATCGATCTCCTGAACAGACCTGCTGGCCTCATAAACAGCGTCCCCAGTGGAGAAACATGATTTGAGGTGCTGTGTCCAGAAAACTTTTAATCTGATATTTTAAAGCTGGATAAGAAAACCAAAAAGAGGAAACAGAACAAGGAGGAGACGAGCTTATCTCAGGAGGATGTGACCTCCTGACCTTTCGGTATCTGTAATCTGCCTTCGACCTCGCTGTTGAGCTCTGTGGCTGTAAAGAGTGGACGAGGGGAGCAGGTCCACGGGACAATGTCACATCTCAGGGCAGCACCTGTTTAAACTCCCCCAAACCTGGGCCTGTTTACTTTGGGGCAGTGAAGGCAACACAGCTCAGCTGAGGACATTTTACAGTTGTGCTGCTGCTGTCATGATCCGTTAAAGCCGATGACCTGATAGTAGGAGAGACGTCTGATTGACACAGGCCTGTTTGTTTGTTTGAGTTGCATCCCAACAGGAAGTTATTCATGCAAACTAATAGACAATTAGCAGGCGTTTAGAAGGCTGTGATTTGGATCAAGACTCCAGAAATAAAATAAATCTTTGCAAGAATACTAAATAAATGCACGTTTCAGTGTTTATTATGGCACAGATATAAACTATTTAACCTGTGTTGGCTTCTGCAAGGATTATATGTCATAACAAGGACCCACCAACACAGAGAAGGATGGTTAGGAGATCGTACGGCTGCTACCAAACAGCATCTTTATGAACCGTGTGCATGCATCTGGCAACACCTGCTGCAAAAGTGCATGAAAAAGAAGAGTTGTGCAATAAAAAAAAAATGTGGAAAAAAACACACTTTAGCAGCAAACACTGCAAAACTGCAGCTTGATTTAGTAGATTTGTGTTTAGTCTAACCTCTGATTTGCCCTTTTGTTGATAGCTTGTTTTTATTTTTAAATAAAACCTTCTGAACTCTTGAAGGAAGTGGGAGGCCTGTGCAGGATTCACACACGGACCGACCAAACACTTCACCACTTGAACTGCCAACGTGCATCCATCAGGACGCTTCTTGTCAAACCTTCAGCTCCTCGTAAAAACCGCACAAACCCTCCTGCAGGCGGCACCGAGCCGCTCCGACCAGCAGCACCAGAGCAGGCGAGGCTTTGTCTGAGCCGCTGGTTGTGACACATTTGACCGGTTAAGCTGCCGCCAAACTGCGGGGGGCGATGCGGGAGGGGAAAGGAAAATACAGACACAATGAGTTTCTAAGGTGACCGAAGGCAAACCTGGAGGGAGGCTGCAGCCCAGACCAGAGTCCAGCGGGAAAAGAAAAGAAAGAAATCATGTGTTGTTCCTGTGGAGGTGCGAGGACCTCTGGGAAATATGATTTGGTCAGAGTCAGGATTTTGCTTTATTTTTTATTAGCAGGTTGATTTGATTCAATAAATGAGGAAAACAGCACAATTAAGACAAATGCAAAAAGCATACAATTAGTTTAGTTTCCTATTTTCCCTGTTTATTCCCATATTCAGACACTTTTATTCTTTAGTGCATTTTAATCCTCAGTAAATGTTTCTCTCTGTTGTGCATTTTGTGCTTTTTAGTATTTATTTAGTATATTTTTCTTATTTATTTGTATTTGTGGTGGTCACTTTATTCTTTCTGCAACAACAGAACATCCCCTTAGAGATCAATAAAGTATTTCTATTCTATTCTATTAAGCTGAAATTTATTCATATTTAAATTTACTTGAAGCAAAAAAACAAAATAAAAGTCTAACTCTTGTTATTTTGTGATTGAAGTTGATCTAATGATGGATTCATGTTATATCCTGTCAGGGAATTTACGAATAAGCAAAATGCAAATCTCAGACCTGCAGCCTTTCTCTAAATATTTCAAGGATTCAAGGATTCAAGGAACTTTATTTGTCACGCCAGCTCACATAAATAATAAGTTCAATAAAACAAGAGCAAAATAAAAGTAAAATACAGCAATAAAAGTGTATTAAACTATAATAGGTGGTTCTGTGTTGGATGAGCACCAGGTTAAAGTGTTCCTGGTGGTTCTCATGCAGCCTGCTCCTCTCTCCGCTGCTGCACCTGTTCGGGCTCCAGCTCGAGGTGTGAGCGCATATGTTGGTGGCAGGTGGCCGGAACGCGCCTTTCTGCGCACTTAGCGCCACACAGCTCCTCATTAAGCGCTTTAACGCGCGCATGTTGCTCCTGAACCCGCAAAAAAACCCCACAGTGACTGTTACCTGAAGACCTGCTACACGAGAAATCCCGCAGTGTTTATTGAAATAAACTCAGCTAATCTGGTAGAGTCATCGATGAGCTGGTTTTATTTACACACTCTCCACCGGGTTAGAACAGCTTTAGGAAGTTTTCACCACTTAATTAAATGCGTGAGTCTAATAAAAATCTGATAAACTTTGGGGTGACGTGAAAGTGTTTGTAGAAGCAACAACTTAGATTTAAAATTAAATTTAAGTTGTATAGTTTAGATTTTGTACAGATTTTCCTGTTTTGTTTCCTCACAAACATCCAGTAAAATGACAGAAAACAAACAAACAATAAAACCATTTTACAAACACAAAGTCATTCTTTTGCATCATTTGACTGTAAAATGATTTTTATTGAAATTAAATCAGTCAAAATGTCTTTATTTTGCAGATATTTTCTGTTATTAAAAATGAAAATGATGCATATTTAGGATTAAAAATTGGTAAATAACTTTTTGCTTTTTGAACATCCAGCTCCTCTGTTTTTACAGATATTAATTCTTTTGTTTTTACAGCATGTAGCTGTAAAATCATATTTACAGTATTTAAAACCCCTAAAATATCCTTATCTACAGATATTTGCCATATTGCTTCATTCATTCATTCATTTATAACATTTAATAAAATATATTTTTAAATAATACATCCCAAATGTTAGCTTATTTTTTCTTCACTTAAAGAAGTCTCTGAGTTAATATAATTTTAATTAAGTTATTTTTGTAAGTGCCACCATAAATCATATTATTATTTAATCTAATTTAAGATCCAAAAATAGTTAGAAAATTTACACGTTTTTGTGTAATTTGGACTCACTTTTAAAACAACAACCACTAGAATCAACTTTATTCTAAATCCTGTCAACCTGCATTTGTGCTCACCATGTTTTACTGTTTTACTGTTTGACTGTATTCTTCATAATTAATTTAAACAGTTAATCCCTGTGTGATTCATTACAAAACTCAATGACTGGTTAATAAAGTGTTTAAACACTACAGTGAACTGCAGACACATGGCATAAATATTAATAATAATATGTCTTTAAACTTCACAATCACAGTCATCATAATATATATCTAAGAAAAAAATCTTTAACTTAAAAAGAAAGGCCAACATCAGGACATCAGTGTGAAGTTAGAAGTGATTGTTCTTATTTTTGGCTCCAAAATAAAGCATCAGATTAGAATTTTTTTTAATTATATTTCTGAAAAAAACAGAAAACTGCTGTTAGAATTTGGGTCCATTCTTTAATTTTTATTTTTTACAGTAATTTATTACAGAGCAGAGCTGCTGAAATTATTGTTGCATTTTGTTATGTCACTTAACATGATTGAATTAGCCTGTTTATAATATTTTATATCTCATTTTTAAAAAATGATTTACGGTCATTTGTGAAACATTTTCGTTTATATTTATTTTCATTTTTACTAATTGTAAGTGATCGCATATCATCCAACCATCATCAGGTTGTTCCTTCCAGAAAAGTTCCATCATTTCTGTTATTTCTGAGTCTGTCAGTCCTCTGATTAACTAACATCCAGAAATGCAGGTTCGGTTCGTCCTGGATCAGTCCGGACCTGCTCACTCTGCCGCCTCCACCTTTAAAACATTACCGCGTTGCTCTTTTTCGTTTCTTTTACTGTTCAAGCTCATTTGTCTCCAGTGGAAACCAGGACGCGGAGGGAATCCCTGAACACAAGAAGAACCTCCTTAACTAAACACAGCTGAGCGCCAATAGCAGGACGCAGGACGCCGCTTCCCGCTCCGCTGTGCGCCTGCGGACCGTATTTAGGTGGAGGAGCACCGACAGCACAGGAGGAGGAGGAGGAGGAGGCGACAGGTGCAGCAGGCATGGAGCGGCCACAGTCCTCAGGCAGGCTGGGAGCAGAGACAGAGGAGGTTTTACCCAAATAAATGGAGGAGAAGGTGAAAGTAAGGAGCTGGAACTCACACCAATGGGTGAGTAAATGATGTTAAAGTAGAAAAAGTTAGAAGATGGAGTTTAGTTGGTGTGTTGCTGCTGCTGCTGCTTCTAGGCAACCACTTCCAAACACAGACTGGTTCCTCTCTGGGTTCATACCAACCACAACAGGCCCATAGAACAACAGCTTTTAACTCTAATCCTGCTCAAACGGTCCTCGTGTTGCTGCTTAAAGTGATAATTCTGGTTCTCTGCTTGTTTCCATGATCAGGAGGATGCAGAGAGACTTCACAGGAAAGAGGAGGCACCGTCCCTCAGAGGTAGGAGACATCAGATCTGCTTTAAAACGCTTTTTAAACGCTCTGAAGGTGCAGCCGTGTGATCGGGTGGCGTCGGTGTGGCAGTGTCCTGCTGCAGGCTGTTATCTGATGGACAGCTGGCAGCAGCACTCCTCACTGCTGCTGCCCACTGACCCCAGACCTGCCGTACAGCGCCTTCAATTCTCTGTAAATGTGAAGTCAAGTTGTGAACAAGAAAAGCTTTGCATAGTGATAGAGCTCATCAGATCAACTCAGTCAAATCCTGCATTTGCATCGACAGAAGATGTGACTCCAGGTTGCTTCAGAACAAACCTGCTCGTGAATTAACTGAGAATCACTCGAGGGTTTAGCAGAAAGTTAAATTATAAGCTGCTGCTCAGGTGTGTCCAATAAAACATCAGGAGCTCCTTCAGTTGCAGGAGGCCGATCCAGCTGATCTAGTGAAGGTGAAGGTCGCAGAGAGACAGTTAACCTGTTTGGATTGTTGGTAGGAGGAAAACAAACTACAGGAAGGTTTCTTCTGACAGGAACCAAACCAAAGATCCTCTGAACCAGGTCCGAGGCCTGAGAGCTGTGACCGGTCGGGAGGCAGTGTAATGTTAGCTGACGTGTCCTCTGCCAGCTCACACTGCTCTGCTACCTGAACGGTTACGTTTCCCCGCATGCTTACACCTGCACATGGCAGACGTAAAGGCACCATGTTGGTTAAAAAAAGAAGCTTATTTTTAAATGTTTAGTCACTTTGCAGATGTGAGGAGGAGGTTTATGTTGAGGTAGGGGCTGTCCAGGTTTCAGTGTTGGAGCTTATACCACAAACAGCTTTAAAAACAGACTAATCATAAGCCAGGTGGTTTAGTTTCTCAGCTGTCTGACTGTGGGTGGCTGGAAGGCAGTGTCTTGTTAGCTGGTTGGCTCCTGGTGTGCCAGCTTACCTGCTGCTGCCCTCCGACTGCCCACCAGAGCCACAACAGGATGGGACTCATGGTTCATGTACATCTGATTGTAAAACTTTGAGCAGCCTGTTTTTAAACCATTCAGACTGAGAAGACGACACAGAAACAGGCGTGTTTATGTCGGATAGAAAAATCCACCACAACATGCAGAACATCAGCACTGACGCTCATCTGTCTGCATTTGAAATGTAGACGAATAAATCAACAAATTAAGTGGTTCTGCATCTAAAACAGGCTGCATGGTGGCTCGGTGGTTAGCAGCTAGAAGGTCACTGGTTCATGTCCCAGTGAGGACACCCGGGATCTTCCTGCGTGGAGTCTCCATGTTCTCCCCGTGCAGCGTGGGTTCTCTCCGGGTTCTCCGGCTTCCTCCCACAGTCCAGAAACATGTTGAGGTTAATTGGTGATTGTAAATTGTCCGTAGGTGTGAATGTGAGTGTGCTTGGTTGTCTGTCTCTAAGTGTAGCCCTGTGATAGACTGGTTACCTGTCCAGGTGAACCTGCCTTCACCCTGAGTCAGCTGGGATAGACTCCACCCCCCATGACCCTGGTGAGGGTTAAGTGGTGTATATAGATTTACACCCATTTTGGTGTCAAAGTTTATTGAGCTGGTTTTGGACAATTGCAATGAGCTGAATCCAAACATCACATTGGTTTTGCTCATTGAGGTCAAATTTTTTGATTTGATGAAACATTCAATTTACTTGTATTTACCTCTACAGATGTTTACGCTCATCAACTGTTGGATCATTTAGCTCATTACAAGGATTACAAAATGAAAATCTTCCTCTAAAATCCGATTTCATCTGAGAAACACTAAAATAAATCAATCGCTAACGTCAAAAAATGTGATCGATTTAGTGGTAAAATCAATTTTTTAAAATCGAGTTGGCATAAAAGCCTGACCTGATACAGAAAAGCAGATTTCATTTTTGGATTCAGCGTTGCAATAATGTCCTAAATCAGGGAAAAAATCCTAGACACCTTCAAAAAAGTATTTTTTTTATAACCCAGTGTAATGGCTGGACCTAAAACATAAGAAACCAGCAGCAGAAGATGCTGAAATCAAATGATCAGGGAATCATTTTATTGTTGCTGTTTTTGAGGCTCAAACTGGGATAAAATGCTTCAAACAGGCTTTAATGTAAACATCAGGAAGAGATGGAACCAAGTAGAAAATAAAGCAAAACTGAACATTTGTAAAAAACCCAACAAAGGCGAAACAATCCTTCAGCTGCAGCAGTGGTCATTATTAGGAATGTTCATCCCGACTGTCACGATGGTCCCTCAGACACTCCGACTGTCGCTGCCTCTGCTGCCGACACCAGCGGATCTTCTTCATCCTGCAGCGAGACGTCTCTCAGCTGCAAACAGTTCAGTCTCTGACATCCATCGTAGCTCCATCATAGCTCCACCCGCTTCTTCAGGATGAGTTCTCGTACCAGCGCCGTGGCCTCTTGGCGGATGCTCTCCATGTTCTCGTCCGTTCGCCAGAACCGGATCACCTTCCCCTCCGGACTCACCAGAAACTTCCAGAAGTTCCACTTTGGGGTTTTCTGCACAGAATCTACAAAAAGGAAAACATTACAGGACATGTGTCACTGGTGCTTTTAATCTTCATTAGTCAACAAAGACAACCTTCAAAGTCTGTTTTTTAAGCATCTCGTGGCCAAAACAGGCAGAAACACTCAGTACAGACACAAAACATGAACACAGGCATGAAATAATAAAAGAAAGAACAAACTACTGAACATGAGATTCCCTTAAACATCCCAGTAAGTGTCTAAATAACATAAATTAATCTAAATAAGTATGATCGATCTAAACCAGAAACTCTAACATGCTGGCACATTACAATGCAAGGATTTAAATTCCCAAATGCTGCAGCTTAAATTGTGCATATTTGCATTTCCAGTAGCCACCATAAATCAACTTATATCCACATTACAGCCCCACGCTGATGTCTAACCGGCTGAGCTGTAATTTAAGAAGTTGTAAAAAGTCTAATGGCATCAAAACTGAATTTTAGAGCAACTACACTTTGTCAGGACTGGATGTACAACTCATAGCATAGATTATGTAATTAGATCCAGTGACATAAATCTATAACTGGTACATTTCCTTAAAAATAAACACAGTTAAGACAAAATAACCAAATAACTACTTTAGAATCCATCATTCTATTATGTCTCATGACTGCTGAGTTAAAGTCTGTCGAGGTTTTATTTGGAGAAACAGACGATAAAGTTCATGATATGGATGGGGATGGAAACTCTGCAGCTCCATAAATAGAAAACATGAGGAAGAGCCGTGAGAATAAACTGAGATTTCACACCAGCAGGTCCTGCAAGGCCAAAATCAGAGAAATTACATCTATATTTTACATCCTGGTTCCCTCAGACTCGTTCTGCTCTTTCAGGTGCATAAAAATAGATTAAATTACCCTGAGGGTGCCTTAAAATACTTTAAAACTTTACATTTAGCTCCACAGTCACAGGGGTTTTAGGAGAAGCTAAATGACGCCTGTTCTGTGGCTCTGGTTCTGGTTCAGGTCATGACAGACTTCCTCCAGCAGACTGGACTGACTGAAATAGATTTTATGTTCATTTGTCTGGTTAAAAACACCAAACATTTGCTGGTTATAGCTGCAGAAGTGCAACAGCCTGCTGGCGTTTCTCATTTCATGTCATTATCGGTTTAATACTTGTGGCTGCAGCTGAGGACAAGTTTGTTGATACTCAGGATCACTGGAGGTCCAATCAGCTGCTCAGTGTGTCCATAAACACACCACAGACCTGCTCTACCAGGACACACACAGAACCAGAGTCTCTGCACATTTCTAACTTGTGTTATTTGGTCAAACGTACCTGTGAGGAACTTGAAGGCAGGCTCAGCCTCTGATCCCATGATCTTGATCCTGCTGAAGAACGGGAAGGTAACGCCGTAGCTGGACTTGGCGAAGGCCTCGATGTCCCGGCTGGTCCCGGTCTCGGTGTCCCCGAACTGTCCGCAGGGGAAGGCCAGGACGTTGAAGTGAGACGTGCCCAGCTCCCGGTGGAGCTCCTGCAGGAACCTGTAGTTCGCCTCCGTCTGCTCGCAGTGACTCGCCACGTTTACAACCAAGGAAGCCTGCAGAGGAGAGAAAGCAGTTAATCACAAACAGCCTCAGAGATGCGCATCAAGCAACGAAACCACTGTCTCAAAAACACGGCACAACTTGGAGAAAGTTTCCACCGATCTCTTTGCCAAACTGAACCGACAGCTGATGATGTGGACATACTTTTCCTCGGTACTTCTCCAGAGACACCGTCCTCCCCTTCGCGTCTTTCACCTCGAAAGAGTAAAAATCCTTCGGTTTTCTGGGCTTCACCAGCTGCGTCTGCAGGAGGAACAAACAGCCAACGCCGACGGTCATGCTCAGCAGCACCGTCAGTTTCTTAGCTTTCGGGTTGGAGGACTTGGCAGGGTAGCCCCCTAAGGCCTCCATCTTGGAGGGGGAAGAAGGAGCCGCGGTGGGAGCGGGGACTCCTGCCCTGAGTCCCGGGGAGGACCGGAGGAGGAGCTGCGTAAAGGCGCACACGGTCGGTGCGTAAAGTGAGCCGCAGAAAGACAAGACGGGATCAGCGGCAGGGCCTTCAAAATAAAAAGGACAAAATAAAAGCTGCACAGCTCAAAGACATTTGGCAAAGAAGCATTTAGATCAAACAGACACAAGGAGTAAGGATGTCAGAATGTTACAGGCCATTTCCACCTAATATATATATTTTAGAACAAATAACCACTGTGACATTAGCACTTTAAAACACTGATATTGCAGCAGAAATAGTGTTGCAGCAGCATTTTACATATTACAAAACACATATCTGACACTGAGCTGACAGGAGGGAGGTGAGAAAAGACTATTTTAAACATGTGTGTACTGTACTTGATTTGAAAAGAAGTTTAAAATTAAATTCAAATTAATGTGCAAAGTCACTCAGAAAAATATGTATTAAAATAATAAAACAAAAAGTGTAAAAGCTGCATGAAAGATCAGCTGGTTCTGATTATTTTAAAGCCCTTATAACTTTAATTAAATTGAATTTGAATGCATCTATTTGATGTAAATTACAATCTTTATAGCATTATTAATTGCTAAACTGTGTGCTTCTCATATTTCCTGCAAACATTCCTAAATTTACAAAGGTCTGGAAAAAAGCTGAATAAAAAACTAGGCAGCCAGTCACTCAGCAGCCATCTTGGTGACGCCCCAGACAGTTATTAAAGGCTAAAGAGACCGTGTCCTAATCTAAATTAATAGTGAGAGAGCCATAACTACACTTCCAGTCGTCACTGGCATGTAAAAAACTGCACGTCTAGAATCACCAGTCTGGTGACTTTACCTAAAATTAGGTTTAAAACACATTTTCCTCCTTATTCTACGATACAAGCGCCCTGTTTCCTGACACTGCAACAAGACAACTGGCTGCATGTTTCCTGGTTTGTCTGTCACAAAACAAATCACTGGTTTTGACATACGAACCACCAGTTGTTGTTATGTCACTTATCTAATGTGTTGAACTTGAAGAACTCTGGTCCATACTAGTGCAACATGTCCTATCCATGTTATCCGAGCGTGCACGCTACTGCCAAGCATGTGGACTGTTGCCTTTGTTGCAGCTGTGCGCCCTTCATCGGCATACATTTTGGACTGCATGATGTATGTGGAGAAGAATGCGTACACTCTTGGAGACATGGGAATATGATCAGATTTATGGTTTTGGATTCTCGTGTGGTGGCTCAGTTGTTGGCATCGTTGCCTCACAGCTAGAAGGTCCCTGAGTCAGCTGGGATAGACTCCAGCCCCCATGACCCTAGTGAGGATTAAGCGGTGTATAGATGATGGATGGATGGATTCTAGTGTACTGGCCCTAGTGGGACGGGTGGACCATGTGTCACACGGCCTCCATCTTTGCCTCTTTGGAATCCTCTCATGGATTTCTGTTCAGGATTCTTTAAGTGACCAAACTCTCTTGTGTCACATCTCTGGTTGCAACTAGCCTGAATGTCATAGCAACTACTTAGCAACCAGATAGCAGCAACCACGCAAAGAGGCTTAGCAACCACCTAGCAACAATCTTAGCAACCGCCGAATAAACACAAATGAGCCGGTGACCTTCATAACCGCCACCATCAGCATCTCAGTAACCACGGCAACGTCTTATCTGCTGCTCTGGAGACTACAAACAGTCGCTTAGCAAACTATCACAAGAAGTGTGGCTGCTTCAGTACACAAATACGTCACAACAGACATTGTGTAGTTGTTGAGTAGCTGCAGATAAAATATCAGCCCCTTGAACTGGTTTCCTTTAAAAGGTCGCTTTGAGGGTCAGTTTTCAGTATTTTAAGATCATTTTTTACAGTATTTTTCATTGTTAATGTTACGTTTTGTCTTCTCAGGAGCAGCTGGATGCCCATGAAGTGACATACAAGCGCTTCAGGAGCTGGATCCTCCAGAGGAGCAGCACAGGGCGTCCGACTGCGAGTACACCGGCGGCCCCTTGGCGGCAGCAGAGCTTTGAGTTTGATGCAGTCTGTCAGAGGCTGGAGCTGGATTCCCCACCGAGGAACCGTGAATCAGCAGAGAGCGTCCTTTGGAGAAACCCTCCAGGTATCAAAGGACACAGCTCATCACAGAGGAATGTCGACACCATGAGGTGATCTGTGATGTTTAGCTTGTCTGAACTCAGATCAGTAAACCAAGAAATGAGCCGAACTCAGTTTTTAACCAAAGTAAGAAGGAAAAATCTTGTAGTGTCGGATTTTTATTGTTGGCCTTTGCTGCAGTCGCACATTATAGTGGCATAGATCACCTGCAGCTGGTTTTCTGATCTTTTTACCATCTCTAGGAGCAGTTCGGCATCTTTAATTTCATTTTAAGTGGCATAAAGTGAAACGTAACCTGTGATTCACTCAATGGCTGCTTACACAGTACATATTATATTGCATTGTATGATTATCTCTGCTTGTTAAATTTCATTAAATGCTACTTTTATGTCAGTACATTCCATGTCCTGCAGCATGTTCATGGTTCAACTGTGAAATGCTTCACCTCTGGCACTGCTGTAGCTCACCTGGCTGGGCTGGCGTCCCATGTTCAGGAGCTGAAGTCCTCGATGCAGAGGTCATGAGTTCAAATCCCGCTCAGGGCCCTTTTCCCCCATTCTTCTTCCCCACCTTACTGTCTCTCCCTCAACTGCTTTATCAAATAACGGGGGGAAAAAAAGAGAAATACTTGGAGAGCAACAGGAGAAACAATCAACAGGAGAGCTGTGACCTCCAGTCACAGCTCTCCTGTTGCCACATTTCAGGGCTGAATGTTAAAAACACGTAATAACAAATAAACTGTTCTGATCACCAGAATTAGATTTAACCCCCCATAGTAGCATCAACATTAGACTTTAAATCTATTGTCAGTCATGATATAAGAGGTTATTTGGTTTCGTCTGCATTCTTTTTTCTATGATCTTCACCGTCACATCCAGATGTTTCCCCACACAGACACATCTGTCCCAGCACTGTTTTCTGATGGAAGTCATTTTATTTCTGCTTCATCAGGTGTGTCCCGCCGTGAGCCAGTTAAACCAGCGAGCGCTGGAAGCCGACGGCCTGCCACAGAAAATGCCACTGAGCAGGTTTGTTTCAGAGAGTTTCATCGGCCTGTTTGTGTTTTGTGTTGTGTCATCATCTCACAAGACAAATAAAAACGAAAGCTGTGCAGAGAGACGGGGAAGTTTAAGGGGGCGTTGGACTCCCTCCTGTGGGTTTTCTTTCTTTCAGACGGGTAACGAGAAGGAAACAGAGTTTGGGTTTTTTGGTGGAAATGTCTTACTTCAACTAAATAAATCTCCTTTCACATCAAGAGCATTGCCCAGTTTGTGTTGACACATCACTAAAATAAAAGTGGAATAAAAGCCCTAAAGAATTATTAACTCATTGCTGCAGAAGTTTAGTGTCATTATGCCACAAACGACATAAAACATGGACGAACTTGGTCAGAAAACTGGCACACGTTGTAAATGCTAACTTTGTTTTTCTCTATTAAATCTGAATATCAGAAGAAATATGATTCTAAACTTCGTACAAGACTGCTTCTAAACAGAATGATTTACTGTTTTTGCAGGAATGGGCGTGGACGGCTGCAGGTAAAAGAACGGGGAACTTCCAGCAGGCTGGTACAGCTCCACTGATCTGATTATCTGAATGTTCATCAGCAAAGTGTCACAATACTCCTTGTTATGTGTGGTTCTGCTCAAAGCTGCTGATGTAATTCTGTTTTTACATTATCTCCTGTGAGATAATCACAAGTTTTTCTTATCTTGTGAAGTTTATGGAGGTCTCGTGTTAAATGTGGTGTGAGGTGGTTGTTTCCTGCAATTCTACAATCATGTCTGGTTTTCTTTTACAACCATTGGCTTAAATTTAGTGAAAATTATTGCTTTAACACCAAGATGCATGTGTGTGTTTTGCATGACTGCATTTGTGTTTATTTTCCCTTCGCAGGTTCTGACGGGAGAAGACGTGATTTGCAGCCGTTTGGCGTCTTGAACGATGCGTCTGGGGGTCAGTCAGTGATGCAGTTGGGGGCGCCATCGCTGCAGAACGACTACTGTAAGAGATGCAAGACCTGAACTCTGTCTACAAGCACATGTGATCTGTTTATGTCTCTGAGTTCAGAGGATGAAGCTGGCGACAGCAAACGCTTTGTTAGCACATCCCATGAAGAGGTGATGACCTTTCAGTGGTTCTTAACACCGAGTTTATTAGTTCCTACTCAAGATATTAACCTTTAACAATGGATCATAAACACATCATTCAGTTTTTAAAAGAGTCTGAATGAGCAAATATTATTAAAAACAGGAGAAAAAAATGTGCAATTGTTGAGGGACTATTTTCATTGGTGGATGAATACATATTTTTCATAACACCAGAATTAGTCAAGAGTGAACTGACAGAAAATAATAAAGTGTTTATGGGTTCATCAGTCCATTAACAATCCTCACACTGACTCATCAGCTCCAACTAAAGCAGCCTCCAGGAATATAACCAGCTGCTACTGATTTTGTGGATTTGTTGGTATCGACAACTCGAATTTTACAACTAAACATGCACGTTGAGCAGTTTAGGAGCTGATTTCAGTCTAGCTGAACTCACTGAATCGTGTTTACGGCCATATAAGCTGTTAAGAAGCAACCAGAATCTCATGATGGGGTGAAATGACCTTAAAGGAAGAACCCTCTGAGGTCACCTCAAAGTGCTGCAAGCAAGAAGCAAAATATAGGCTCTGGCTTCAACCAGAGTAAAACTACACTTCCATTATAATATGATTCAGATGATAAGATGCTATCAGGTAGGATTCATTCTGTTTGTGGTAAGGCCTCTTCCTCCATCTCCTCCCCGTCAGACACTGATCTCCTGGACTGCAGCTGTGACGGTCTGGTGGCGTTAGCTCTGGGCTCCTCTGTTCACCTTTGGAATTCAGAAACCTGTACTCTGATGGGACATTTGGACCCGAGTCCACAACCACCAGGAGGAACCCACCGCCGGTCCATCTCGTGTCTGCGCTGGAGCGGGGACGGCAGAACTCTGTGCATTGGGACCAGACGAGGGGAGACGCAGGTAAGTTCGAGTAAATGAGCGCACGGCGGTTGGAAAGTGAATCACACACACTGTGGTCTGAGGGTCTCTGACATGGGGGGAGGTGTAGCACTCAGCTGAATCAGCAGGATGACGGTTTGTGGTGTGTCTCTGTCTCTCTTTGACTCCTTAGTTGTGGGACGTCGAACAGAAGCAGAGCGTGAGGCGTCTGCCTTCACACCTGGCTGTGGTCGGAGGCCTTTCCTGGAAGCAGCAGTTACTCAGCAGGTACAGAAAGAATGAGTTTTCTAAGCAGTGCCCAGTATTTGTTTTTGAGCTTCATGAACTTCATCAGAGCTGAAATGACACAAAATGACTCCAGTTTTTTAGAGTTTTTTGGAGGACCCTGGTGATACAGTGAATACACAGTAAAGTACAACTCAGGATGACAAACGTCCTGCTGGTGGATCTATAACTGCACAATCCTCAAAATCCAAAACAAGAGCCTGTAATAAGTCAGCTTAAATTAAAACACAAATACATAAAATATTATATAGAGAACTTTTCAGATGCACATTTTAAATTCTAAATCAGATAAAACAGCACAAAAATATTCCAGAAAAAACAATATCACACTGGACTGAGTTGGATAATAGACCCAGAAACATCCGGACCAACTTACAGCACCAGGACCTACAGCAATGAATAAAGCAGGGCTGGTTAAAGGAGGAAATACTGCTGATGATTAGAAATATACATATACAATAATAAAACAAGCATGACGATGTAATCAAGCCTTCGTTCAGCCTTTTCATAGGTTTATATTTTAGTTAAATCTGTGCTGAGAGGCTTTGATGAAATGTCTTAAAGTAAAACATCTACAAGTTCACTCACTAAGGAACATTTTATAATAGTTTGTAGTTAAAATATTCAGAGTTCGTCTTAATTAATAAAGTTGCTGTATTCATATTTGTGACCCAGTGTGCTCACATTTCTGCAAATATTTTATTTTATCTTTTCATGTGCCAACGCTGAAGAAACGATGCTTTGCTCACATGTAAAGTAGTACAGCTGTTTAACAGTGTACATTTACTGTCCCCTCAAAATAACTCAATGCACAGACATTAATGTCTAAACCGCTGGCAGCAAAAGCCGTACACTCCTCAGTGAAGATGTTCAAATTGGGCCCCACTCGCTTTTGTGACAGACTGTAAAATCTTTTAAAAAAATCTAAATTCATGATTTGTTTTTTGGTGGCAAAGATGCATCGGTTTCAGAGACATGTCGACTTCTGTTCACGACTGTAGGTGGTTTACCCATGAATGAATGTAGATCCATCCATCCACCCATCCACCCATCCATCCATCCATCCATCCATCCATCCATCCATCCACCCATCCATCCATCCATCCATCCATCCATTCATCCATCCATCCATCCACCCACCCATCCATCCATCCATCCACTCATCCATCAATCAATCCATCATCTAAACACTGCTTAATCCTCACTAGGGTTGAATGTAGATGAAAAAAACCTGTTTCAATCAAAACAAACTCTTAAATGAAATTTTAATTTTTTTTCTGGGAAGAGCAGCGGCTCAGTCCTCGGACACATCCACCACCTGGACCCTCGGGCCTCTTGGCCTCTGGTGGGTGCAGCCGTCCAGAAGGAGGGCATCTGCAGCCTGCAGTGGTCGCCGGGGGGCGACTGGTTGGCCAGCGGCTCCACGGAGGGGCTCCTGCACATCTGGGATAGCGACGTCGCTGGAGTGGAAAGGTCACGTCAGCCAATCATGACAGTGAAACAGCCCAGTGCTGTCAAGGTCAGTGTGCTGGAGACTAATGGGACTTGATAAATGGAGGTTTTGTGTTTTGACTTGAAAAAAGCCACATTCAAAGTATTTCAGTTTAGTGAAACAAGAAAACATTAAAACAGGAAGTAGTTTCTGTGTCTTGGGCTCCACTCGTGTGACTGTAATGAGCCTTTTTTTGCTGTAAATGCCGCCACGCTCACAACGACTTGTTAACGTACAGGAACTGTCTTTGCCACGGTCTCTGTCATAATTAGGAATGTTTGCGTGCTAATATTTGCTGTCGTGTCATCACACTTGCTGGTAGCTGATCGAGTTATTTCAGCCAAACTTCTCACAGCTCATCTGAAACCCACCCAGTATCTGTGAAGATGTTTCAGCTGTGAATGACGGATGCACCAAACAGCTAATACCCCCATCTGTGCAGCCCCACCTGTAAAAACACGACTCGGCGGTGCATATTTAGATTTGACATTTCTTGATTTGCAAAAGCATCGCCTGCATCGTTTCACACGGAGAGCAGTGTTTGTGGTTTTCACGACTGACACAACCACATATTGCAAACAACTGCGTGTTCAGATGACTAATCTCAACCGGCTGCCCCATCATGCTGCTGGATTGTGTGTGTTTGTGTGTTCAGGCGATGGGATGGTGTCCATGGCAACGACAGGTGATCGCCACAGGAGGGGGATGGAAGGACGGACAGCTGAGAATCTGGGACACTCAGTCGGGCTCCTGTGTGACGTCCGTCAGCACGAATTCACAGGTTCTCAGGACTTAAAGCAACTTTTCTGTGTGTGTAGGCTCCGTAGTTTACTCCTGATGGCTCGATTTTACAGATCTGCTCCTTAAGATGGGCTGAAAAGAAGCGATATCTGATCACTGGTCACGGCCTTCCTCATCACCACGTCGCCTGCTGGACGTGGAAGTTTCCCTCCCTCGGCCCGGTCCACCAGCTTAAAGGTTAGAAACCTAAAATAACATCACTGCAGGCCTCGACAGTTTCTGTTTAACACATTCCCGACACCCTCATAGAAATAAATGCAGCTGACATCAGTGTGCACGCTGAGTAATATGAACATCACACCGGTGAGATATCTGAAAACCAGCCTGACTCATTCGTCAAGTCGACGTGAAACTGTTAATTAAACACATTCAAACCAGTTGCATTTGATATGAGATGTCAGAGTTTCTTGTGACTTCTCGAGAGCGAAGAAGTCAAGAAAAGCAAAAAGACGCTTCATTTATGGTGTTTATGAACTCAAGCTTGGTTGATTTTTATCCAGAGTTTGGCTGCAGAATTTCCCCTCGTCAGATCAAGAGAGGAGATAAATTAATTAAAAAGATAAAAGGCATTGTGTGGATCTTGCTAGTTTACTGAGAATCCCTTTTGTTGGAGGGTTATCTTGCCCTGAATCGTAACCGCTGAGTGGTGATACTTTCCGTCGCTGCGAAGAACTTGTGGTTGTGGTTGCTTTGAGAGACGATCTTCAAGTTTTCCACAACGTTTAAAGAAGCAGGCCGCTCTGACACCGCTTTGTTATTTCTCTGAATTTACTTACAAGAGTTTGCATCGATCCTGTCGCAATTTTCTCGGCAGATTTTCTGCCACAGTTGTGCGGCACAGAATCTCCTCCTCTGAATCACTGGAACCACATAAAAACACTTTTTTTCATCACCCAACAAAAAGTCTGAAAATACAACAAATCCTATAATCTTACACGTGCATCTCTTCATTAACTGTTTTATCTTTATTTAAATCAGGTGCTTGTGTGAAACATGTTTGATAGTCAGGATCTATTTGATGTTTTTTTGAACTACAGCAGTGACTTAATAACTTCTAATAGCTTGTTTAACTTGTTTAACTGTAAACTAAATTGTATAATTCATCCTACATCCACCCAACCGGTGGAGGCAGATGGCCGTCCCTCCCTGAGCCTGGTTCTGTCGGAGGTTTTTTTTCCCCTGTGGGGGTTTTCGGTTCCTTCCCACTGCTTGCAGACTGCTGAAGCTTATAGGGAATCCATATGTTTGAATTGTTGGATGTTTCTGTTTCTGCCTTTGTGAAGCGCTATGAGATGACTTGTTGTTGTAAATATGCGCTATACAAATAAAATTGAATTGAATTGAAATAACGCTGCTGCTGCTGTTTTCTTCCAGGTCATTCTCATCGAGTCCTGCACTTGGCCGTAAACCCGGACAACACTCGGATCTTCTCAGCCGGAGCAGACCAGCGCTTCCACGTCTGGGATCTGTAGTTATCATCCAACGGGGCCGGTGCATGTTGTCGGGTCACATGGTACCCACAGCTCGCTTTCTTCTTGAGAAACTGCACATTTCCTGCCTCCTATCCCGAACTAACCACAAGACCAAAGCCGTCCAACCATCACTTCACACCAGCTGTCATGTTTCGTGTCTTAGAGGATACAACAGACATCATGTAATATTCAATTATTATGAATTGTTGTGCTGAATACACTGAAATTCGGTTAGAAAATTCAGTCCAACACAGAAAATACAAAACTGAATGTCATCACAGATTATTTATCAGTGATTTAAGTAACTTCTGACAAAATATTGACTTCTGTAGATTGTTTTAATGCATGTTTGACACATTAAAGGGCGTCTCATGGAAAACAGCATTATATGTGCTACTGTCTCTACCTGAGTTAAACCTGGGAATCTGATTTTATCGTACAGTCTGTCAGCGTGAGTGAATTTGTGAATTTTTTTATTCAGCTTTTACTTGACATTTGTTGATAATACATGACGTAACACATAAATAGAGTGATCGGTGGTTAGCACCGTCGCCTCGCAGCTAGAAGGTCGCCGGTTCGCGTCCCGGTGAGGACACCCGGGATCTTCCTGCGTGGAGTCTCCATGTTCTCCCCGTGCAGCGTGGGTTCTCTCCGGGTTCTCCGGCTTCCTCCCACAGTCCAGAAACATGCTGAGGTTAATTGGTGATTGTAAATTGTCCGTAGGTGTGAATGTGAGTGTGCTTGGTTGTCTGTCTCTAAGTGTAGCCCTGTGATAGACTGGTTACCTGTCCAGGTGAACCTGCCTTCAGCCTGAGTCAGCTGGGATAGACTCCGCCCCCTCTAGTGAGGTTTAACCAGTGTAGAGATGATGGATGGACGGACAAACAGAGTGTTGTTTATTTTGGAAGCTGCAGCATCTCAGACGAAAGTTACACATCAATAGAACTCAGAGTAAAGTCCGCTTGGCAACGAGCTCCACGCCGAAAAATTCTCACTTGCAAGTATGTGACCAGACCAGACCTGAGAGAACAGTTTGTGCACAAGTCCTGCGGTGAAGGCTTCCTTTGAAGACAAAAGCTAAAGAAGGACCCTTCAGATGCGGTAACTCTTATGGCTAACATGTTCACAGAGATGTGCAGAGATGTGGAGGCGATAATGATGCAGTGTGGCCTCCTCACCACAGACGTCTGCAAAAGAGTGCAGAGCAACACTTTAGACAAACACTACGTCTGCATCGCCGGGCCTCCAGCTCAGCCTCACTGCACCACAACACAGAGCGTGCACTTGGATTACAGATATATTTCTTATTATCTGCAAGTGCAAAAGCAAGCAACCAAACACGAGAACACCTTGTGAGGCTGCGTATTTTAGTGTTAACTGCAGCAGATCACTTCCACAAACTGCTTTGTTGATCAGCAACAAGACAAAAAGTGCAAATCATCAGATAAGCAGCGAGTGAAAAATTGGCTCTACAAGAAGCCCTAAATCAGCCCCAAGATCTAGATCCGATCACTGCTTGGTGAAATGTCTCAGCCGCTGCCACACGGGACAAATACCTGAGACTAGAGATCACCTGCAGGATGTTTAATACCCGAAACCGCTGCTCAGCCTGTGATGAAATGCACATTGTTCTATCAGACGCCTTCCAATTCAGACGCAGATAAAAGCCGTGACCTCTTTGGACGTCACTGGCCTTCTCCGTGGTTACTCTTGGTGCATTTCTAAACCCTGTGTTTGTTCTAATTGTACACTAAAACTAACATTAACCAGGCTGCTGCTTAAAATAAACCTCAGGGTGGAGCTGTGCTATTTTTAGCCTCGTCCTCGTCGATAAAATCCCACTCCTTCCTCTCTGATATTCAGTTACAGGCCGCTCAGGCGCACAATCGGTCTTTGTTGCTTCACCTCTGTAATCAGAAAGTACAGAAGTTTGGCGACGCCCAAGCAGATTGGAAATGTTTGCAAAGTTGGAAATGAGAGACGTGTTTTTGGGAAAGCAGAATCTTTAAAAGGAGCAGAAAAATGCACGACTTTTATACCAGAACGTAGTTTGCAAACTATTCCTGAGAACTTCCTGCTGCAGGTGATCAGTCAGCTCTGGACGCGCCCACTCGTCCTTCCAGCTCTTGCGTCACCCTTCCAGCGTGAGGTGATGTTATAAACTTCCCTGAGCAGAAGGAGGTCAGATGAGAGGGAGGAGAGGGAGGGAACAGGTCGAGGAACATGCTGCAGACTCAGCACGGTTCTGGAAAATATCGTCCAGCAAATGATCCGCTGTTTGGTGGAAAGGAAGGAAGAAGCACAAACCGCCTTCCAGGAATACACTCGGACTCTGCTGTATGTACGCCAATGAGACGCAGGCGCTGCAGTGGCTGGCTGTTCTGGGTAAAAGCTTCTTTAACTTGGTTCACGATTGTCGTAGCTTGTCGTTGTGCACTTCAATGTGAAGACAAACACAGAAGCTCCTGCTGTGCATCACTGGAGTCTTCATAGAGTTCATCAGTTGTCTGCAGCTGCTACAGGAAAGCATTTAAACAAGAGAGTAAATCAGCATCCTCTACAGAAACTGTGATGAAACGGCAAATGTTGTTGATAGTTCAAGTCAGAATGAGGTGCTGGCAGATGATGAGACAGACATCAGACCCCCGAGTCACACATCAGAAAGACCGAGTGTCTTATGTGTCTTTGCAGTTGTTTCACTTCTGTTTGTGGTCCTTTTGTGTTTGTTTGCATCTGTTTGTGGTTGTCTTGTGTCTCTTTACAGTTGTGTTGCCTACTTTTTGTGGTTGTCTTCCTCTCTTTGTAGCTTTTTCATCTCTGTTTGTTGTCTTTTTGTGTTTCCTGCAGCTGTTTTACTCCCTTTGCCTGCTTTTGTAGATGTTTAATCTCTATTTACAGTCTTTTTGTGTCTCTTTGCAGCCATCTTGCATGTTTATGTAATTGTTTTGAAACTCTTTTTTTGTTGTTTTATATCTTTTTATAGTCTTTTTGCATCTCTCCTGTCATTTTGTATCTCTGTGTAGTTTGCATTTCTGTGGTTGCTTTCCTTCTCTTTTCAGATTTTATTTTTGCTTCTGTTTGCCAACCTTGTGCATCACTTTGCAGCTGTTTCGTCTCTTTTCGTGGTTGTCTTGTGCCTCATTGCAGCTGTTTTGTCTCTTTTTTTAGTTGTCTTGTGTCTCCTACAGCTGTTTTACTCCCTTTGCCTGCTTTTGCAGATATTCAGTCTCTATTTGTGGTCTTTTTGTGTCTTTTTGCAGTTGTTTCATCTCTGTTTGTGGTTTTCTGGTGTCTCTATGCAGATGATTTACTTCTATTCATTGTCCTTTTGTGTCTCTTTGCAGTTGTTTCTCTTCTGTTTGTGGTCTCTTTGCAGCCATCCAGTAGTTTTGCATCTGTTTTAGCTGGTTTGCATCTATTTGTAGTCATTTCACATGGCTCCCTGGTCACTTTGTGTTGTTTTATTGCCAGGCCTAAAACCCCGACACAGCTGGTGTTAACTCTACTTTTCTCTCTGTTCTGTCCCCTGCCACAGTGTCATGCCATGTTCTAGCATCAGGACAGATCTCCTCACAGTACGTCCTGGTCCAGCAGCCGATGTCCTGGATCAAAGCCCGGGAGTTCTGTCGGAGGCACTACGTGGACCTCGCTGTCCTGAGCACAGAGGAGCACTACTTCACCCTCCTCAACGCCACTGCTGCAAACAGAGCGAGCTACTGGCTCGGTCTGCGGCGCCACAGCGTCCTGGCTGACTGGAAGTGGGTGGACGGGGAAGAGCTGTGCTACCAGAACTGGTACAGGAGAAACTACGAAGGCTGCTGTGCCAGTTTGGAGGCCATGCTGAAGGAAGACAAGAAGCTGCTGGCTCGCTACTGTAAAGAGCAACACATGGTGGCCTGTCAGGGTAGGAGATGCTTCTTTGTTCTTATTTCAGGGTTAGAAACTGATACGTCTTGTACACAGATCTGGCAAACAATCGAAAGTGTTTAGACATAATGAACAGGATCCGGTCCTACCTGTTCTACCTGAGCTTCCCACACAGCCTCCCATCCTCTTTTGTTTTGATACGGTTCAGGTTGTTGTCATCTTTCAGTAATGCTTGTTGTTGCTGTTGTTGACTCCATTTGCAACCAGAGAAGGTAAAAGGGTGAAGTTTAGTGTAGAGTTTCTTTCTGCTGGATTGTTCTGGATGGTCCCTATAGTGCAGCGTGAAACCTGAACAATAAATAAGTTTCACATCATTAGACTTCATCCTCCTGGTTTGGTTGCAATAACTTAGTGTGAACGTGATACGAATCAGAACTCGACTCCATCGTCATGTTTCAGTATTTTGTGTATCTTAATATCCTAAAATGTTATGGCATGACTTTTTTTTTTTTTTTTTTTTGCTCTCGAGCTTTTTTTTTATCAAAAATGAATCCATAAAAAAAAAGGCTAAAAAAAAAAAAAAGTAGAAAATAAAGAAAAATAAATAAAGTAATAATAATAATTTTTGATTTATTTTTATTTGTTTATTATTTATTTATGTATTTATCTGTTGTTGTTTATTTTATTTATTTATTTTTTTAAATTATTTTTTAAATTTTTATTTGAAAATTTTTTTTCTATTAAATATACGAAGAAAAATGTGCGCAGTAGGAATGTTGTTTTTCTGCACATATCTCCTTTGCTTTTAAAGCAACATTATTAAAAAATAAATAAATTTTAAAAATTAAAATAAAAATGAAAAAAAATAATTAAAATTAAATTAAAATAAATAAAAAATTAAAATAACTAAAAATACATTATTTTTATTTTATTATGTTATTTATTTGTCTTCGTATTTCTACTTTTCTTAACCTTTTCTTTTATGGATTCATTTTTGATTAGTATTGCTTTATATTGCCGCATTATTTATTTTTATTTCTACTTCTACTTTAATATTCTTTTATTTAATTATTTTTGTAATTTGGTGCTCTCACTACTCTATAATTTTCATTTCATTTATTTCATGTCACTGTGATACTGAATCAACCTCACTCTAACTCCGACCAGGTACCTGACCCAAACCCAAACCTAGACTTCCTGAAACATTTCTCTGACTCGTTTACCCTCCCAGGTCCGGTCTCCCCACAGTCAGTAGCCGTGGACTCGGTGGGTTCCAGTCACGTGACTCTCAGCTGGAACGTCTCTGCCTTTATGCAGACGACGCCACACGCTTACAACGTGACGGTGTGCAGCAGCACATGTGAGACGCTGCTTCACCAACACACCAACGGCTCTGCCTTCATGAGCGTCAGCGTCTCCAACCTCACCTCAGCCACCGACCACTTCATAGAAGTCTCCGCCTTCGTCGTTCGGCCCGACGCTTCCACCGGCGGGAACGTGACCCTTCAAAACAAACCCGCAACCGCACAAGTCAGAACAGGTGGGAAGGACTTGGATGGATGTTAATCTGCTTTATGTTGCTTTCTAGATACTTAATGATCAACTAAAACTGTTTTTAAATGAATCTATAAATCAAATATTGTTAGTTCCTGCCTTCACCCTGAGTCAGCTGGGATAGACCCAAATGAGGATTAAGGTGTAGAGATGATGGATGGATGATCTTAAAACTCATATATTTGTGTCTTTTTTCCTCCACAGCTGACTTTTGTCCGCAGAACAAAATCCTTCTGATCTTCTTGAAGCTGCTGAAGCTGGTGTCTCTGGCTCCTCCTCTGTGGATCCTTTATCATGTCATGAAAAAAGGCAGGTCACCGTTCTCAAAATGAAAATATAAATATACCTTTAAAACACTCCTCATAACAAACTCTTTCATCTCACAGGACCAGCTCATGAGGACCCACCGGTGGAGCTCTCTTCTGTGGACGTGGCGCCAAACGGTCCAAAAAACAGGGCGGTCGGTTAGCAGCGAGGAAAATATACATGCTAGGGGTCTAGAAGATGGAGGAAAGCTATTTAGTGCAGTAGTAACCTCGTTCAAGATGTCATGAAGTGTTTAAAAACATGAAATGTCCTGAACAGAGTTAATATATGTCCAAAGAAAATAGACACAACTGGTCAGTTTGAGGAAAACCAGCGTGTTTGAGAGTGTCGGATGACCAGTAGCTCCGTCGCTCCTCTTCTCACCGCCGCTGCTTCACAACAGTCAGGAACGAAACGACGACGATGAGCCGAGATGTCAGATGACAGCGAGTTGTCGTTTCTGTGTCGATCGTCAGGTCGGCGCTGGTTCTGGACTGGTTCTGATCACCTTAACTTCCACTTCCAGAGCTCCTGCTGAAAGCTCTGCCCGGTGGCTCCGTGATGCTTTTATCAGTCTTCACTTGAATATTTTAGTATTATTATTTTATTTTTTTAGATTTCTTTGTTGTTTTATGTGTTCACGTTGAATCCCAGAAATGAGGAAATTAAGTTAAACCATTTAGCTATGATACAAGGAAAACAAGCAGGTCGTTGTTTTCCTTATGAGCTGAATAGGTGATTAAAAAAAAAAAAAAAAAAGAATATTCAGAAGCTGTAGATGGACCGTTTGTTAAATTCCAGATGTTTACAAATGTTCTGGGTCCATCTCCAGACATCAAGACCAATGAAACATACGGCCTAAATGCACTGTCTGGACAAAACAGGAAAGACAGGAAGAATAATCCTGAATATTTAGTTTGTGTCATATTCATTTTTTACCGTCCTTTAGGCTGCTTAGTGTCATTCCTGAGACAATCCCCGAAGTGTTAACAGGGAGCGATGGAGCGAAGCATCACACGGATGGTCGTAGCGTCCGTTTATCAGCAGGTTTGCTTCAAGGCGACGGCATCACGTGATCTAGATTTTGAAGCCCTGCTTTGTATCGCAGCAAACGATAAGCTAGAACTTTTCATGACTGCAGCCGAGAATGAACAAATCCTTTACGTGGATTCTGAATCTGCAGCAAGAAGAGAAAAACAAAAAGCTAAATATCTGATGCTATAGTATTTTTTTTTTTAAATTTATGATGAGAAGTTTTATTTATCCACACACATAACAGAGGGTTTGTTCTGTTCCTTTATTTCAAAAAGGTCTGTGCAGTCTCGTCGACTGCTCCTGGCCAGAAGCTAAAATATTCTGTTAAACTATGAATCTGAAAAATGTCTCAGTGTGGCGGCAAATTCTAGAAGTATCTGTCGTATCGTGAAGACGCAGCTAATCGAAGTACAGCCATGACTCGATGATCGGACCCTTAACAATCCTAAACCTGCTATCCGACAGGATTTTAGGAAAAACCAACAGAACCCATAAAAACAGCCTTAACATAGCGACAGCCTTGGATTGTGACTCCGACATGACATTTAATGTCACCAATCAGGATGACGGCGTATTATCTGACTGAACAATCCCACAGATTGGCTACGTTCACACTGCAGGACTTGATGCTCAATGAGGATTTCTTTGTGACTTCCTTCACGTTTCCAGTTCAATGCGACTTGTATGTGATCTGCTGTGTGAACTTCATACGAGCCAAAAGTGTCCCGCATGCGCAGAAGAGGACACGACGACGTCACACGCAGCGAGCGTGCTCAGTGTTTATGGAAGTAAACATGGATGGTAACGGTGGAGCGTATCTGCCACTCCCCCGCCGCCACCGATGGAGGAAACAGAAGTGTGAGCGCTAACTAAACTAGCATCAGCAGCCAAGTACTGCCTGTGTGTTCTGGACACTTCCACCCCGTCAGAGCGCTGCCCCGGGGTGGAAGTGTCCCCCGACTGCACCCAATATTCTGATATTCATCATTAATTGGGCCTGAATATCCAGAGAGCAGAAAGTTCTATTGGGACCAGCCCTACTAGTTATTATAACAACTATGAACAATAATGAACAACTAATGAGCCTTCCAGCATCAAGCCCTCCTTGTATCTGGACCTCCGTCTGGACAATCTGACAGCCTTGATATCCGACATAAAAGAAGGTTTTACGTTTAGTGTCTGATTATCAAGTCACGACTGTATTTGGTATTCTTTTTACTCTGCACTTTTATTTTTGTTACCTTCATTTTCTCTTTGTATTTTGTTTGATGCTGTATTTTATTCCCCCGATGTTTCTTTTAAAATGCATTTACTGCTATAAACTGGTAGAAAACCGTACTGATCACTTCTACCTGAAGCACTACATATAATCAGGCCTTTGGTGGGAACACAGGCTGCATATACAAGATTGACTTCAGATTCTGCAAAGTGGAGCTAATGTCCAGCAGGGGGCGACTCGTAGATTTGTATAGAAGTCTATGAGAAGATGAGTTTTACCTCGATCTGCTACCTTTGTAAACTATTCCCCAATAAGTTTATGGTCTCAACCGGTACTTTGAAGACTTTTTGACTACAGCAGAGTGTTCATTTATTGAATTGTTGTCCAACTTAGAATAAAACAGATGATAAAGAAGAGCTTGTTTTAGGGCGGGGCTTCCTTGTGATGGACAGATCTGCACCACGAGTAGCATCCTCAGGTCCTCCAGTCAGATCCACCACTTACTAAGAACGTTTGTTTGAGAAAAAAATGTCAAAAAATGTCCTATTTGGAAATAGGTGACGTCACAATCGCTCTTCAGTCTTTTATATGCAGTCTATAGGTGGTGATATTTGAGGATTTCTGACTAAAAAATAAGTAAAACATCATTCTGAGTATTCTGATTGAGCCACGCTCATATCTGCCTGTTGTTTGTGAGGCTACGAGAAAGTTAGCTTAGCTTTGTATAAATACTGGAAACAGCTATTTTACACCTAAAATAAAAGTTTGATTGTTTTAAACTGAAAGTCGTTTGACTAATTTATTGTTATTTTACAGTTTTTCCCCATTAAGGTATTTTACAGACAATAAAATCACAAAGAAATTGTTCATTTCCTCATTAACCAAAACTTTAAATAATGTCCACATCAATCAGCTGTGTTTTCACAAATTAATAAATAAAATCCACTCTTTTGCACAATTACACTCTTTTTTTAACTGTAAATCTGATAAAATGCTGTTATTTTACAGATATTCACCATTATTTAAGAGAAAACACATAAATACTATGGACTGAAAATGATAAATACTTCCTTCAGCTGTTGTTTTACAGACACTTTGTTAAATTACAGATAATAACGAGTAAAATCCCAACAAAAGAAGTATTGATATACATGCTGAATGTGAGGGCTGCGAGGTGGAGCAGTTGGTTCCGTCGCCTCACAGC